AATTTATTTGGACTAACATATATGAAAACAGACAACAAAATGATATAATCTGATGCCTGCTTGTTGACGTCACAAAACCTAAGACGATGATTAGTTAAGGGAGGAAAAACTTGGATGGAAAGTAGAACATGCTCTACTATCGTCCAAGGACTTGGACCAAATACTTGAATGATCGTTTACACGATCCGAACTCAAAGCAAAACAAGTTTCCATCACTATCAATCAATCTTCGTCCAAGAACTTGAATCGTCTAAACAGGCCTAAAGGCTGGAAGTTAACGGTTGTTTACTAAACATCCCAAAAAAATTCCAAACTGTAAAAAAACACACGATTCAAATCCTTGCTTCCATTCTTAAATTATTTTCGAACACCCATACTGATTTTCGTTTCATAGTATATAGAGAAAAGAGATAATCGGTTTTAACTGTTTTAAAAGAAATGAACATAATTCTTATCTTCGTGTGTAAGTTGCTTCATATGCATGTCATATAATTGCTAGAATCCTTGTCGGAAATGAAGTCAAAAATGGAAGCATGAAAAATAGAAAAATGAAGTATCACAAATTAATATTTAGGCAAAAAAGCAACAAAAATGACATCGAAAACTGTAGCAACACTAGTATTAAAAAAGGCGGAAAGAGAAAGCAAGCCAGTTTGATTACCTGCTTAAACTTGGAGATGTTTCTAAAGGCCTTCAGCCTTGGAGATGTTCGTCCCCAGTGAAGTGAACCAAATTCGAATGCTTGCCATAGTGGTTGGACTCAAAATAAAGGAGGGTTTAGTTGCAATCTGGGAAATATGGTGCTGTCAAAAGTTTGTATCTTCTAATGTTATTTTTACTTATTGTGTATTTCGCCATATCTCGAGAACTTTTTAAGTGAATTGAAAAGTTTTTGAACACAATTAAAAAATTTGTTTATCCAAAAAGAATCCTTGCAAAATATAAGTTTTAATAAAATTTTCTTATTATATTATTTAATAATAGTCAAAAACGGTTTTTAAGAATACAATTTTTGACATAATTTTAAAGAAAATATCATTTTACATATGAGATTTAGTACATATGAGATTTTAAAATATAAGATGTAAGAGAATTCGGTCGAATAGTATCTGAGGAATCAAATTTTAAAAATCTCGCATTTTTAAAATTCGATATATTTCCCAGGATACGGCTATCCCCTGTACTTTGGGGTCAAAATTCTGAATCTCTCGAAATAAAAAAGTATGTTCATTCAGAGAAAATATGTTTTTGTGTTTGATCTCGTAACTTAAATATCGTCTGCACTATTTAATAGGCATATTTGAAGTCACCTCCTCGAACCATTAAAATTCAGTCCTAGAACTTATAAGATTCGATCGCTATATCAAAAGTTTTTCAGGGTGGTCCATTTATATTTTTGCTCACTGTACATATGTAATATATTTGAGTGTACACACATTTAAGACTTAGATCAGTTGAGTCTCAGCTCCTGGTTCTCAATATTACGAAAAGAAAAATTTTTAGTTACAAAAATCTTTCGTATGGGCTTAAAAATTAAATATAACTAGTTGGCATGCCATTTTAATTACCGATTCAATAAATATTGTAATTTAATTACAGATTCGAGTAAATGTTATGATTGATTTTAATTTTTCATCGTAAAAAGCTCATTTACTTGGTTATGCTTTTTTTAGTTCTTCAACAGCGTCATTAAACTAAATTTTTCTTTAACTGACTACGGTCAGTGTGTGGGTGGGTGACCACTTTGATCAATCTGTGCAAGGTCCAAGGGTATGATGTATTGGCCCTCATTTAACTGTTTTGCCGTAAAGTGCTCGACTTCATGCGTAGGTCGTCGAGCTACCGAAGCGGGGATGCAATCCCCTCTGCAGGGGATCAAAATTGCGATGGCATGTCTTCGGATCAACCTCAGTAATGTTTCCCTGACAGTCGCCAATAGTTCAGTGTGCAACTCTAGTGCAACGTAAATAAAGTACAACTATCTCTGATGATGGCTCATGGCATATAGCGTTCGCCTTCCAATGATTCGTATCCCGGCGATGACAGGTCGATACGAATTCCGCATCCGGCTTGCACCGACCACAGTGCTGACGTAAATTATCCTCAGGGGTAGACGGATCATGGGTTAGAGTCCCTTTGCCGTAAGGCTAGCTGTGAGAGGTTTTCGTGGTTTTCCTCTCCATGTAAAGCAAATGCGGGTTAGTTCCGTCAAGAAGTCCTCCACGAAGGCAAATTTCTCCCAATACTTAATTCAGGAGTTCCCTTGTCTTCTTGATTGGGTTCAAAATTACAAGGTTTACAAAATTACAAGGAGTTGAACATTAGTAGCGAGAGATACACTGTAGTTGAAGTTAAAGCACAATTCCCAGTAAATCACCGAAATCTTGCATTTCGGACAGCGGTTAGTGAGAGGGCGTGTGACAGCTTTGATATGCCGTGGAGGGACCGAGGGTGTGCCGTATCGACCCACGTTGAACTGTACTGAAAAGTGCTCGACTGCAACAAGTTAAAAAATGTTTTTCCAAACTTCTGGATAATTTAAGTACTTTGTTAACAATCCCACTACAAGTAATGAACGCTCTTTTAGCAAAATGAAAACTATAAAAATCTATTTAGGATCTACGAAAGATAAAAGCGAGTTTTTTTAGCAATAATTTCTATCGGAAATGAAACTGCAGAAACAATTGATTGTGAAGAGTCCATAAAGCTATTTGCGTCTGCTAAAGCACGAAAAAATACATTTTAATGTTCATGCTTTTATATTTATTTCTGTATTATAAAGGATTATATTCATTAAAAAGGTAACTTTTAATAGATATATATATTCGAATACTTGAAATATTGTTATTTATTTCCATCATGTGTTTCTGAAATCAACATTCAGAGTTGATTGATTTTATTATTTTCTGTCAGTAATATTGTGATCAAATTTTAAGATATAAAAAAAAGTAATTTTATACTGTAAAGCTTACTACACCAAAGAGGCAATTCAAAGGGTCTTTTTTTAAGATAACTTTTCCAAAATTGAGTTAAGGGTGCAGATTTCAGTATCGCCCGGGGCGTGAAAATGACTTCCACCGGCACTAGGCAAAGTTCAGAATTTAAACTTTTTTCTTTACCAAAATCTCATCGTGCAGAAGATATTTTAACTCATGTCATACAGCCATTAAGAATTCAAACATTATCACAGTCAGTTTAAAATTTGAGTATTATCTCAATGTAATTTTGATGCAAATGCCACACGATTTCTTTGATCGGTGACTGCTCTATAAAATCTATCGAATAAAATACGAAAAAATGGTACCGAAGTTACTTTGATTTTCATTCACGTTTTGCTACCACTCTTCGGATCAAAAAATACATCAAAAAATGTCTTCGCGAAAGAAAAAAATCAAAAATTAATTTTAGTGCAGTCCGCGAGTAAGAAAAAACAAACAGTCTAAAAAATTTTTACCTCAAATTTGAAATATCACCTGCAAAGATGCAATCTCAGTGTCTCAAGAGGCAATGAATTGGTATAATAAATAATTTAAATCACAAATCATACATAAAAATATACTTCATTCTTTTTTCCTTTTTCTTTTTCTGAATTTTTTTTTGCTCTTAAAATATGGGAGATATGCGCAGTATATATTACTTAACATTACATTTTTTTAACGTTTTTCGTGCCATAATACTAAACTAGAATTTCGAAGAACTAAAAAAACTGCGACTCTAATGAAAAATTCTTTTTCCCAAAGGAGATTTTTGCAAAAAAGAAATAAAATAAATGATAAATTGTATACTTTCTTTAATACCATTGAAGAAAAGAAACTTTTAACATTTGTTTTTTAACACTTCATTATTACATTATTTAAAAGGATGTAAAAAGTTTTATTCCTTACAGTTCAAAAATTTATCGATCATTAATAGCATAAATTCTTTTTCCCAAAGGAGATTTTTTGCAACAAAAAAAAGTAAAATAAATGATAAATTGTATATTTTCTTTAATACCATTGAAGAAAAAAAACTTTTAACATTTGTTTTTTAACACTTCATTATTACATTATTTAAAAAGATGTAAAAAGTTTTATTCCTTAGAGTTTAAAACTTTATCGATCATTAATAGCATAAATTCTTTTTCCCAAAGGAGATTTTTTGCAAAAAAAAAAAATAAAATAAATTATAAATTGTATATTTTCTTTAATACCATTGAAGAAAAAAAACTTTTAACTTTTATTTTTTAACACTTCGTTATTACATTATTTAAAAGGATGTAAAAAGTTTTATTCTTTACAGTTCAAAACTTTATCGATCATTAATAGCATAAATTATAAAAATAATAGTTTTTCCAGTGCATTTTCGTTGGCTGAGTTAATTTTGTAAACAAAGGTAAGAAAGTTTTTCGGTTCGACCAACTAGTAACAAATATATAGTGAAAAGAGCAAAAGTAAAATTACCTATCCGGCAGCAGTTATCTTTACCATATATATCATGAAATTAAAAAAACCGAATTCGCGGATGGGGAGAAACACATGTTTACTAAGAAAAAGCACGTTTTGGGTCTAAATTGTAATCATCTACACTAGTTAATTATAATTACTGTATTTAAGGTTAGCTCTTTGATCAATTAAAATCACAAGTAAAAAAATTAAAAAATTTCTTCAGATTTTAAATAAATAAAATTTTAAAAAAAAAACGACTGTTATCAACAAAACGGTTTTTTTCCTACCTTTAAACAAAATAATGTAAAATGATTGATTTACAATATTAAAAAAAAAGAAGGAAAAAAAACAATTCAGTGTTTGCAGAAGAAAGCTTTAAGTTCACTTTGTTGGAGGATATTAAATTTCTAAAATTCCCCTTAACCATAAAAAAGAAACAATAAATAAATCTGCGCACAATTACGTACCGATTTTTTCAAAATAAATATGATTAAGGTTTAGACCTTTCTTAAAAGTTGATTAAGTTCTCACAAGATGGCGCTTTAAAACTGTAGAGTAGGCATTTGCAACTATGCATCCCAAATTTTGAAAGGGAAACTGACAGGGAAAATTTTAGAGAGAAAACGTAGAAAAAGCAGTCGCACCCACTAAACTTCCCTAATTCTTTCTTCAAACTTCCCGCATTTTCATGATCTCATCCTCTTCATCTGCAACTAAATAATAAATATTCAAAGTAAACAATTAGAGAAACCGATTTTAAAATATAGCAAGTAAAAGTTCTTCATAAAAACTATCTAAAGTAAGTTTATTTTTTGTTATTATCTGTAATCATTATGGAGCGTCTAATTTTAATGTTTCACATGTTAAATCAATTTCCCATTTATGGTAAAAATTGTGTAAATCGCTACTGATTGATTTTATGCACATGAATAATGTTCTTCTCGCTTTGTGTTTGTTGAACTTAAAATTGTTGTTTTTTAATTGTCTTATGATTTTGTTCAGATGCCCTACTAAAAAGCTTATCTAAAATAATAATTAATAAATATCAATACCACAGGTGTTGCATCCAACAGACCGCATCGAAGGGATTTCAAAAATTTGTTCATTACTTAAAATTATATGATTACTTTATTTCTTCTTAGAAAAATGAATCAGTGAATCCTGNCAGTCGCACCCACTAAATATCCCTAATTCTTTCTTCAAACTTCCCGCATTTTCATGATCTCATCCTCTTCATCTGCAAATAAATAATAAATATTCAAAGTAAACAGTTAGAGAAACCGATTTTAAAGTATAACAAGTAAAAGTTCGTCATAAAAACTATCAAAAGTAAGTTTATTTTTTATTATTATCTGTAATCGTTATGGAGCGTCTAATTTTAATGTTTCACATGTTAAATCAATTTACCATTTATGGTAAAAATTGTGTAAATCGCTGCTGATTGATTTTATGCACATGAATAATGTTTTTCTCGCTTTGTATTTGTTGAACTTAAAATTGTTGTTTTTTAATTGTCTTATGATTTTGTTCAGATGCCTTACTAAAAAGCTTATCTAAAATAATAATTAATAAATATCAATACCACAGGTGTTGCATCCAACAGACCGCATCGAAGGGATTTCAAAAATTTGTTCATTACTTAAAATATTATGATTACTTTATTTCTTCTCAGAAAAATGAATCAGTGAATCCTGAATTTCTTTTAAAGGTATTAGAAACTGTAGCTGGGAGTGAGTGTAGGATATGAACACTTATAGTTGGGTCAAATTGCAGTTTTAATTACACTTTACAAGATCTATCAGTGATTTTAATTAATTAATAATAACCTTAGTACACTTTAACTAGTGCCTTGGTTTTAATAATAGATATCAGTTTACTGCATAACTCATACTTAACTCATTTTATGAAATTGGAAATAAATTTTTAATTTAACAAATAAAATTTTCTAACTAATATTTAACTGAAGTTCAAAAAAAGTTATTAATCGGTAAATTTATTCACAAAGAATGGCATAATAATTAAACCTTTCCTATATGTATATGTGGTGTTATTCAAAATATATTTAATTATTAGAAATAAAAACATGATTCTCCTGTTAAAATTGTTCTTTGTATATTTGCACATAACTAAATTTTAAATGTTAAAATACTATTTGCTATATTTTTATATTGTGCGGGACTTGAAATTAACTGTTGTCTTAGACTACCAAAAGTTCACTCAGACTATTCATTAATGAAAAAAGGTGGTACAGTGCAGAACCTCTTATCCGGAAATCAGAAAACCAGATAACCGGAAATTAATTTTCGTCCATTAAAAAAAAATTCCTGCAAGATTTTGAGCCCTTTTTGTTATTTAGAGCGTACGGCGTATCGAGTAGTCGAAAGAACTGATTTAGAGGACGAATCAAAAGCCGTTTGTAGACAAATGTCACATAAGCACAAATAGCTCATATATGTTATTAATGTTAATAATAAAATTAATAACATATATAAGCCTGTATATAATTTTTATTTCATAATTTCTTTCCTTATTTAAACTTAAGTGTATTATTATTTATCATTTTTTATTATTTCTAAAACTATTTCAAAATAATTTTTTAGTTTCGTTTTATAAACATTAAAAAAACGGCATTTTGTAGCGATTCAGAAAACCGGAAAAATCAGTTATCCGGAATCGCGATGGTCCCGATCGTTCCGGATAATCGGTTCTCTACTGTATATTGATTTGATTTTTTTGATATTCCATTGCATGTTTTGTTACAAAATATTTTATTTCTTCATAATTGTGACAGTACACATTTTTTAGAAATGTCTAATAGCTACATGTAAGTAGATCAATAAAAATATGTACACAGTACTAGTGATATCTTTTAGTTATTAGACCTTACATCTTCTTAATTTTTACCTCTTTCGTGTTATTACTTTTATTTTTAATACATTTTATCAATACTGGCTACACTAGGATTGTAGCCAAAGTTAAAATATTATGATATTTGAATTCTTATATTTCACTCTTGATAATTGACATTTCAAAATCCTCAGTACAGCTAAATCATGATACAAATACATAAAAATAATTTATTTAAATTTTTGAAAGTTTTCATATTAAATAATTTATTTTTGACGTATTGCTCTTGAAGTAAATGAGGATATTAACTTAGTAATTTATGTTTGTTTGTTTTTTCTTTCGAAGACTTGAGTGAACAAATAGGAAATGGCATCTGCTGCCTTATGTTTTCAAGAACCTTTACAATTTCTTAAAACTTCTCTAATTTCTAATAGTTTTTCTTTCATAGTTTAAATTGTACATTCAATCCTTGATTCATCAATCCCTCATCTTATATTTTCCCATGTGTGTTGTCTTATTTTAATTAGGGGTACAACGAATATCTGGCCACTATCCGGTATTCAGCCCTTTTGCCGAGTGTTCGACAAAGTAATTTTTAGAAAAGTATTTTTCGACCAGAAAATTTTTGGAGAATTTAAATAGATTTAATAAATAAAAACTAAACTCAGCGGCGTGACAGCCCTAGAGGGCCAAGGCCTACTGTGCCCATCTCAGTTTTCTTGGGCTCTGGGGTGCAGAAGCAGATGCTCCGGTCAGGTGGTCAGCCGAACGCGGAACCCCCCATGTTTAGTTCCCAAGCATGCTTGGTACTCATTTATCGACCCACTGAAGGGATAAAAGGCTGAGTCAACCTTGCCCGGCCCGAGGATCGAACCAGGGACCAGTAGCACAACAGCGCGAAGCGCTACCACTCTATTTAATAAATAATAATCTAAAAAAAATGTTTACTCTACATTGCTTTAAATAATTTTTTTTTATATTTGTTCTAAAACTTGTAAATTTATGTTCTGGGAGACAAATTGAAAAGCAAAATTAAAGAATTGAAACTAGATACTGTATACTGAACCATGAGTTTTGTACTGCTGATACTTTTTTAATTATATTCAAGCAAGTCTATTTCATCATGTTTGTTTTTTTGTGTGTTCTTATTATTTGACAAGATTTTAATGGTAAGTTTATGATTTGCTTTGTTTTTTGTGTTTTCGCTTTTTTCTTGTAAACTAATATAGATAACCCGTAGTAACATTTTAAACTAAGACTTCAATGTTAAAAAGTTATGTCTCCTCAGGAACTATGAGCATTATTTTTTTTTCTGTTTCTCTTTTGCTTAATAACTTTTATCAGTGTTTTTATTATGACAGAATTTTTATAAAGAATTTCTAATAAATGTTTTTCTATCGTCACTTTTTTCTAAAATTATGACATTGTAGAAAAGTTTAATTGTTATTTTGAAATCTTTTGTTTTTATTATGATGCAGCATTTAAGAGGGTTTCTATTAGACTTTTTTTTCGCCGTTAAAAATATGGTAATTGGAAAACTAAGCTGCTCATCTTTTAAAATTTCTATCACAAATTAAGATCGATTTTTGTTTTTCTGATTTGCATTTGTATATAATCTTGTGTTTTTATGATAGCGCATCATTTTTAAAAGCGTTACTGATAAACTTTATTTCTTTTAACGTTCTATGGATGCTTTTTTTCCAGAAATTATTATTTTTAGCGTTAAAGTTTTGTTTAAAGAATTGAGGACTTTTTACAACTTCAGTTTTTATGTGTATATATATAGAGAGAGAGAGTTAAACCTTAGGTATGCTACGGACACCTCTCAATAAGGGCATATTTTTAATTCCGAGTGACTCTTCTATGAATAAATCATTACAAGAAGAAAATAGAGTTTATTACAGTTTGGGATCATGTTTGGTGTTAATGCATCAGTTGATGTAGTTGTTGAAACCTGTGTTGTTGATTTAAGAATTGGTTGTAGAAGCTAAAGAAGTGCATAGTGTTATCGATGAACTCAATGAAACGGAACCACAGCCAGTGCCAAAATTCGGGCCTCTTAGCCTTTAAAACAATGAGGAACCCATGAATTTACGAAAAGAAACAATGTGTAACAATATATGTAACAAATGTCATAAATTTTTTTTTTAACAGAAAAAATAGTAATTGAACAAAATTTCCTAATATTTTAAACAGATAAATGCCTATCTTTTGCATTGTAAAAGTTCTTGCAGTAAAACTTCATTTTTTTTTTCACGGTCTGTTACTTCCTTATTACTTTTCACATATTTTCAAATGTGGGTCAATATAAAATATCAAGTAAGGAATTTCTAGGTCATTATTTGATATTTTATGTAGACCTGCATTGGTCTTCTTTTATCTATCATTCCCAAAGAATGTTCCTATAAGAAACCATCCAGGTTCTACTATATTATTTAATTTTCTTTATAATAATTGGTATGCACTTCAACGAATTCAAGAAATTCAGTTATGCTGGTAATGTGTCTGCTTATAGGAATTATATAAAACGCTAAGAAAGGAAGTATCAGAAAATATTCATAATATCAGATAATATATACTTTCTCTCTACCTTTAAACTAAACAAATGAGTCTGTTTAAACCGACACACTTTACAGATCTATTTGATTAGTAGTTATTAAGTATTAAAGTGCAAACAGTATAGAACTGTTTATTAAATGATCTAAAAATATATTAAAGTAAAAATAATATTTTTTATTCCAATGCAGAAAGACAATTTTTAGTTTTTTGATGTAAAAATTTTACATATGGTTAGCATCCTTTATAAAGCTGGCACATATCAAAAGTTTGCCAACTCTGGCTGTAACTAAATAATAGTATGAAATAATTCTAAATACACTAATCTTTGCCTAGAGATCAACCTCTTTCTTTTTAAATAACACTTTTATTTCAGTGTGCTTTATACTTTTTGCTTAAAAGCCACAGGGCATATGGAGTGTTTTATATCATTTAGGTAAAAATCTCCTTATTAAAAAAATTACCCCAAAATTTACTTAATACCTTGAATATCAAAGTTTTTAAAATAATAACCATTTTTAATGTTATAAGTGGTAATTTGAGTCTTTAATACCTACTTTATTTCTAGCATGAATCAAGTGCAGCAGGTCTTTGAAGAGCGGTTAATAGAAACTGCTAAAGTTCTTGAAGACCAAATCGATGCAGAAATTGAAAAACTTGAAAAAATGGAAGATGAAGAACTCCAAGCTATAGAGCGTAAAAGAGCATTGGCTCTCAAAAAACAAGTAAAGCAAAAAGAAGAACTAGTGACCAGTGGTCATGGTGTATACTCGGAGATACCTCATGAAAAAGATTTCTTTGAGGTCTGCAAAAAAAGTAAGAGGGTTGTTTGTCACTTTTACCGAAGCAGTACAATGCGTTGCAAAATTGTGGACAAACATCTTGAGGCTTTAGCTCCCAGACATATTGAAACTAGATTCTGCAAAATAGACGCAGAAAAATCTTTTTTTATCGTTCAACGACTGAAAATTAGAGTTTTGCCCACTATTGCACTTCTTAAAGACGATAAAATTGTTGATTACATTGTTGGATTTGATGACCTTGGAGGTGTTGATGACTTCTCAACTGAGATGATGGAGTGGCGTATTGCTCAAGCTGGTGTGATAAACTACAGTGGTGATTTAACAGCACCACCTGGATCAAGTAAAAAGCCTAAGAGTATATTCATGGCAAAGAAGAAAACAATACGTGGTGGTTGTAATGAAAGTGATACAGATAGTGACTAGTAAATTAAAGCTTGGAAACTGGATTTATTTAATGCTATGCATTCTATTGATTACAGCAAAAAAAATATTACTTACTATATGCTGTAAATATTTGGGTGAAACATGCTTATTTTTAGCTGCTGCAAAATTTACATTTAGCTTGTCATTTTGTTATAACCTAAAATAAAGTAAATCTTGTTCATTGTTTGATTGATTATTATTTGATATTTCTTTATCAGATATTTCAAGGGATTTGCCCTTTGCTTTTTTTTATATACAGGACTTTTATCATTGCAGTTTTTAAAAGAGCATTGTAATAATGTTCTAGAAGTAGTCTCAAAAAAGTCAACACATAGTGAATCATTTTTTACATAAGATGGAAAAAAAATTCTAGGTATTTGTTAATAGCTTCAGTTTTCAGTCAGTTACACTGAAATAAATTAAGCAGGACAAAGTTATTGTTTTTTTATTAATATTGCATGCATGAACTATAAAGTTATTATAATTGTTAGAACAAAAATTCTTTAAAAAAAAGAAAAAATCCTTATTTGTTCTGAGTGCGAGAATATTTTGAGAAATTTTGATTAAATATTACAGCATTCTATTGAGAAGCTTTCTATAATTCATTAAAAAATTTCAGTTATCATAAATAGCGTTATACTGTCAGTTAAGAACAATTCTAACTGTATTTAAGTCCTATTACTAATATAATCTAGCCATAAATTATTATTAATTCTAAAAGTTGAACTGCTGACACTTCTGGTTTGCAGAATTTACTGAGTCAATCTGGAGCACAATCAGAGTCTACTATTATTAAAATTTGGCGTAATCTAACATGTATATTGCATCATCTAAATCTATGGGTATATGAAAATTATGTACAAAACATGTTAAAAAATTACGTCAGTTTAGATTACATTTTTTTATGAAATTATACTTTTAAAATCCCCTTGCAATCTCTAATCATGTAATAAGTGTTTTTTTTTAGGATTTTAAAAATTTCAGTTTTTTTTTTCCAAAATTTCTGTTATTGAAGAAACTTGAAATTTTTTATAGTCTTCAATTTTCTTTAGCTCATGTCTGCAAATTGGCTGACAAGTTTTAGTAAGGGACTGATACAGATAGTAATTTACTAAGTTAATGACTTAATATGGTATATGTATTTTTCCTCAGACCTATTTTTAAATCTGAGAAAAAAATTCACAAATGCTGTGACAACCTTTAGCGCTGCTTTGTGGAGAACTCCTCCAGACTAAAAATCTTGGGCTGTCTGTTGCTATGGTTACAAGCGATGGCACATTTCTAATGGGGTTGGAATGAAGGTGTCGGTTGGTTTACTCTCGCTGATGAGGACGAAACTATTTACCCCATACCCCAAGTGACTTTTCTTCGTAATCATGGTACCCGCCACAATGTGAGACTGATGTCGGGAGAAGTTCTCCTGAAAGCTGCACCCGGCACCGCGTTCTGATAGCAGGTGGTCTCCTTAGAGCATAAATAAAATTAAGTCAATTTATACTGAAATAAACATTTTCTTTTTAATATAAGTATGTTTTTTTTTTATTTGCAATGCAGAAATTAGTTATCTCTATCCAAAGAGAACTCGCGCATATGTGAGTCTTCTCTATTTGATGTTCAAACCATTAAAAAGAAGGTTTTATTACATTATATTAACTTGCATAGATAGGATGTTCTGTGAGTAAAAGTAAATAAAATCGACTAAACACGAAAAATTAGTATTTTATCACTCGGTATATATTTTTAAATCATTTGGACAATATTCCAACACAGCATGTTTTAAAGTTAAAAACACGATTTAATTTAAGAAATGCTGTAAAAAATTGTTACTATTCTGTGATATTGGTCAAATTATTTAGAGTTTCTCGAAACGGTTTCAATAATAGTTTTTAAATAGGACAAAAGTAGAAAAATGAAAGGAGCTTGAAACAAACTTAAATACTTCTAAACCGAAATTACAATACACTTCATATTTTGACAAACAGGCTTTGCCCGTGTAGCATTCGAAACAACAACACAAACAAGCAAATTGGTAACAATGCCTTTTTTTCTTTTATTCAGAATAAAAAGGTTTTTTTTCGTTTCATGAATCAGAAAAATACAAAAATTTATTGTAAACCATATTTATGCCTCAATGTCTTAAAAAATAATTTACCGTAACAGTTATTTTGTGAATGTTTATAAAAATTTTGTAAGATATTTTTTTTTATACTACAATATTTAGCTGTATCTATTAAATTTAAATAATTTATTAGATGAAATTTCAATTTAGAAAATTAATGTAGGATTGATTTTCTTGCTTTTTTTTTTCGTCCCAGTTTAACAACCAAAGAATTATCTCTATGTAATAATACTTAAAATTATCTCTACGTAATAATAATTTTAATACTATCGTATAACGGGGGGAAATGATAAATGTAAGCATTTCCTTTTCAAAGAATCATATAATTTGCATCGAATACTTTCAGGTTTTCGTATTTATTAAAATAACTTTTCTTTGTTGAAACAAGTTCATCAATAAAATGCTCCTCGATAAATGCTGCTAGATGAGGGTACTGCTCAGACACATGACGTCATACTAAATTCTTCTATTGAGAATTTGATTTTTTAGGAGCATTTTCTTTGCAGATAATTTTCGCGTAGGCGAGCAGTTCATCTTCGGGTAACTTCTCCTACACGCATCTAGGGCAATCACTTGCAGTGTAAACGCTCCATTAGTCCGTACAAAAATAAGCATTCGGAAGCATATAATTATTATCTAGTTTTTATTTTTATCTTGTCGGAACATAAACAAAAGAAATATTCAGAACGATTTAATAAATCAAGTTCCAAAGTAATAATATAAAATACGTTTTTCTAGAGTACTGAGCTGTTATCACTATGTGTAAGTGAAAATTGCTTTGTATTTCGTATAAAATTATCGTAATTGTCTTCTCAGTTTTATCTTCATCTTAACTTAATATTTTTTTATCGAATGTTATCGGGATTATTGTAATTCTAGTGCTTGCTTCTCGTTATTACATAACTAACCGGTTAAAGGATACAAAAAATAAAAACGTCGTTAATTAAGATTAAAGTTCTTCAAAATTTATTGTCTCTACGTTTTAAGTTCTACGCCTAGATTTTTTATATTTCGTACAGTTTTCTTGAATAGAACTTTATATATTTCTGTTTTTACTACAAGTAAGTACATCTTGCTTATATAAAATTAAATTTTCCGATGTTTAATTTTAATAAAAGGAATTGCTTTTATAAAATATTTAATTAAAATAAATTTTTTAGTATATAATTTTTATCTACTTTATGTCTGCTAAGTTTGATATAAGCATGTTAGATTGAGTTTTTACAATAATTGTTTCTAGATGTTTGGGGTCTCACACATTTTAAATTAATGATGATTTTACTGGAGATTAACTCTGTTAATTCTATTACCAGAATGATTCCTATTAATTGTTTTCATTTTAAATGCTGTTTAAGCTCAAGTAGGCTTCATGTGTGTTTCTGTATAATATTTCTATAATCTTTATCATTCATATTATATCCTTTTCAACTTTTAATAATCAGTTACATAGGTGCCCAATGTGTGCGCTATTGCCCCTCAGGGTACGTTAAAAAGTATTTGGATTTTCTAAAAGATGTGTAAAAACTTGCATACAAAAAAATCTTTTAAAAATAAAGTACGTAATATTTATTTATAGTAATAAGGCAGTAATTACTTATAATAATTAATATTTTGTTTGGATTGAAAAAACCAATGCATATTTATTTCTGCATAAATAATGTATTATTATAGCAGTGTATTGATTACTCAGCAATTTATTGAGAAAACGTACCAACCAGTTTTGTAGCGAAAATGGCAATTTGCTTATTGTTCTACTTTTACATTTTTTACAAATTGAAAATATGAGGTGACTTTTCTTTCAGAATTTTTAACAAACAATTTTGATAATTTTTCTTATTGACCATGAACGTAATGTACCAATAATTAAGGATTGTTAAAAATAATAATAATAATACTTCTAAAAGTTATTTTATGCGCAACTTAGAAGTTTGCAGTGATAGAAACAAGTAATTCCATAAATAAATTTTAAAAAAAACTAAATATTGAATTATTGGTTTGTTGAAAAATTCAATAAGTTAATGGCATGATTAGAAGTGTACCATATCGAAAATAGTGAATGTAAAAAGAAAATTTAAATCTTCCCTTTAAAAAATTTCTTAAAGGGGCATTTAAAAAAGTTTATTTTGAAAAGTGGGCGGTGAGTCAAAAAAGGTTAAGTATCTATGTTATAGAATAGAAATACTGCTAAATTGAAGAATTTTATATTCATATATTTTATTAAAAAGTTAATAAGTGAAGACAGACTATGAAACTATTTTACCTAGTTCCTCATCCCCTTCTAACCTCATAATTTTTTTTCAGTGAATGAAAATGTGCAACAAGTTTTGCCATGGGCTGTCAGTGCTGCAGCTTTAGGTTATGCAGTTTATGCTACAATTGCGATTATGAAAAGAAAAGGGAGAGTTAATGATAAAATTGATATGGATTGCAACAAGGTTGTTCATTCTGTTGACATTGAAGATATTGGAAATAAGAAAGTATTCTGTCGCTGTTGGAAGTCTAGCAAAGTATGTTGCTATTTTCCTTATATTATTTGTAGACTCCCTTGTTTTTTTTTATTAATCAAAATATTTCATCTGTTTGATTTCTTACATTTTTAATATTATGAAATAAGTTATTTTTGTGTGGATTGTTTATTTTGTGAACATTTTGGCATTCCATATTTAATTTATCATTTTTTACAAGTTGCTTACATTCAATTTATTTTATTTCTACTTAACAATATTGAGTGAAAAAATAAGAAAAAAATAACTCTTTGTTTCTGAAATATAAACATAAAATGTATTTCTTACTTTTGCTTGTAAAGTATTTTCTATCCTTATGTATTCATATAATATTGTCATTTTGTTAAAAAGATAAGACCAAAAAGTAATGTGACTTATATTGTAATTCATACATTATTACATGTTTGCAAAACAATATTACTGTATATTGAAGCAATTCTTGATGCTTATACTGCATTTTTGCCAACATTAAAAAAATCCTTTATTATTACCTTAAGTTACTTGGTAACAGCAGATCATGTCAGTCTAAATAGCATGCTTAGAAATGGTGAAAAAAAATATTCTACAATCTTGTTAATTTAAGATTTTTTTCAAAGCAGAGTTGGTAAGATAAGTTTTTTTTTTTATTATTGCATTTTTTATCCTTATTCAAAAACATAATTTATCAGTGTTAACCCTTTGTGGTCAATGTCTACTCTCAGCCACCAACGCTTTTTTACCATTCCAGTCATATTGTCTGCTCTCAGCCACTACAGCAAAGAACCATACTGATCTTATATTATATTAAGTCAACAAGCTTTGGAGATACGTAGAATTCAAAATAATATTTTGTAAATTGTGTTTAAGTAAATTTATTCTAACCAGCATGACACCCATGTATAAACTTAATATGACTGCAAAGGTTTAAAAGCATATTTAAAGGATAAGGTATTGACTTTTGTTATTCAATGAATTCTGCAGCTTCAAAAGTTATTCATCTTTTCCTATCATATTATTTTCCTTTAATAAATTAAAGTAAATTGTATGAAAAGTATCCAATATTAATTAATATATGTTATTATTATGTGTAGAATGATTTTTACCAATGTTCTAAGTTTTGGACACTTTAAGGCAGTTTAAGACAGTAAAACCCACGCATCCTGTCCAAAACCCCAACCCTGTTTCAGAGTATATTTTACCTCTTTATTCTCTTGATCCTGAATCAAAAGATTTTTTTCAGGCTCTGGTTGCTCAGATTTGCAAATAAAGCTATAAAGAGATAAAGGAGTTTTCTAACCTTATAAGAAGTTAATTTGAAATGATGGAAATTGTTTTATTGCTTAATAGAATGTTTCTTTGCAATAATTAGGATCACTCATTTTTCGTCGCACTTAATATTTTTCAAAATGTCATAAATACTTCTTAACTTTAGTACTAATTTTCTTAATTTTAGTACTGATATTTACCAATGATTATTTACAAAACTAATAGACAGCTCATAAAATCTTCTTAACTGTGTAAATTTAAACACTGTTATTTTATTTCATAAAATGTTATTTGTTCATTTGCAAACTATAATTCATAAGAATTAAAATCTTCGTCATTTTTGTTAAATGTATTAACTTTATTTTAAATGCTGTCTCTCTATGTATGCACATTTTTTTTTTAAGTGAGAGAAAGCGTTTAAATTCTATTAAATAAGTGTATTGGAAATTTTCATAAGAAATTCGTATCCGGGTTTTACATGTTATCATTTTAAATAGAAATCATTTGTGTATGGGGTATGTGCATAGCCTCGAGATAAATAAGACTGCAGTCTTTTTCATCAATATTATTAATATAGAATTTTAATATTTAGCTTGTCTCCTTTTATCTGCATATTATATAAATGATATAATATGCAGTTAATATAATATAATCTGCTAGTTAAGTGTAAACAAAAATAAGATTTTAAAACTGGAACCAAATCGGCTGCACCTAGTGTTTTCGTCCGCTTATGTTTATGAGACGATTATGAACAGCCTTGATATACAGACCAACGAAGTTTTACTATTAAGACAAGATATAAATTTGCACAATATCATTAATCAGACTTTTTGTATTTGATAAATTATAAAAAATTGCAAACCTAAAATCAATTCATAGAAATTAATATTAAAAAAGAGTGTAAGGATTATCATTATCAAGTTTTAATTATTATCTTCGCTTTTTTTTTTTTTTTTTTTTTTTTTTTTTTTTTTGCTTTCAGTTTAAGTTAAGTGGAGTTATAAGTTGATTGGTAAAGAGCATGTCATATTTAAAACAATACAAACAATATATAATAGTATAATTTTTAAGTTTAGAGATAAAAATAAATTGGAAGTAACTCAGTCATTGTTATAAAGAATTTTGGCCAGTAGTACTACCTTGACTTTGCTTATGCAATTCAAATAACCACCCATTTACTTATTTTTAATGATTCTGAAAATCTACAGGATCTTCATTACTGAAGATCCTGTATAAATTTAATGTTATAAATAAATGTATATTTGTATCTTCCGTACCATTGCTGATGAAATTTATCTTGCATTTTTTCTTTTTTTTTAGTTTCCTTATTGTGACGGCAGTCATACTAAACATAATGAAGACACCGGAGACAATCTAGGTCCTCTTATTGTGAAGCAGAGAGAATCCTAATGTCTTTGCTTTTTTTTTTCAATGTTAGTACAATAATTAAATTTTTCACATTTTATTGGTGCCTAAAATTAAGATCTGCACTTATATGTGGCATACATGCCTGTTGATGTCAATGTTTTTGTTGTCATAAAAGATAAGACTTTTTGTTAGAACAATAAATTTTTGAGCATTTATTTCTTTTGTTTTCTGTTTACTTTTATTTTAATGCTGTCATGAAGCAATATTTTGTTAACAAAAATAATATAATAATATTAACTTTTGAAGATATTTCTGTTAAGATAACTAAGTACACTTTCACAGGGTTAATAACTTATTTCGACTAAATGAACTTATTTAACTTATCTGTGTTTTCAAATTCGCTATTTAATTCAAATCATAATCATCACATATTTTTCTATTTTGTTTTAATAAATTTAATCAATGCATTAGAAAATTGCTTTTCTATCATTAAAATAACTCAATATCAATATTCTATTTTAGTCTACCCCAAATTAAAAAGAACTATGCATAAAAAATTTATGTGATGTTGTAGCCTATTGCTAATATATGATATTTAAAAATACTATAACAATGAATTAAAATAATGATTTTGGAAAATCAATTATTATCCAGTATTAAATTCAAGGGAAAAAAATTGTACTGTGACTTTTTTATTTATTTAATCACAGTTCATACATTTATTACAATTTAAAATATTTTTAAAACTATGATTTATTTTATACCCTAGTAAACTTTTAAGGAAAATCAAATTATCTTTTTTTAACATTTTATAAAAGAGAGAATTGTTCTAAAATTTTACATTTTATTAACTTCAAATGCCTTATGAGAGCCTATACAAAATTAATTTAGTATAAGTAATAAATTTAAGGTAAATTTCCCTCTTCTGACAGAAATAGGTTTATACTTTAATAAAGTTAAAATGAGAATAAAAGCACAAATACCATCACATAAACAAACATGATAACTTGTATAATGAAGCACGTTTTCCAGTATTGAAATAGAATTCTTTTCATGCTGTTTTAGCTTCATTTATATGCAGCACAAAATTAAACTTTGTTTAGAAATTTATACTTGCTCGATGCAGTTTCCTTATTTATTAAGTTACTCATTAATATTTTTTGTTTTCTTTTATTCATTGAGAGAAATAAAAGAAAATTTTAAGATTCTTAAGTGTTTTTAAATTATTAATTAATTATTATAACTTTGAAAATGAAACATTTCAATTACTTAGTTAAGGAATTCATCTGATTCTCTCTGGGTTAACATAAGAAGTTTTCCTTTTTTTTTTTTTTCTTCTAGAAAACCTTTATGTACAGTTCGCCAAAAAAGAAAGGAAAAAAAAACACCCAGAATAATTTTGATCAAACAATCGGATCTTCACGTTCTTGGACGCAATCTTTATGAATCGAGGGGGTGACCTCAAATATACTAATTAATTAGTGCAAATTAAGTTACAAAATCAGACACAAAAACGTACTTTCTCTGAATAAACATACCTTTTTATAAACAGATTCCTGACCCTCATAATTTATTCCCCTTATTGTTATTTTTTACTTTATGCCTATTTAGCCATGTATCGAGAACTTTTTAAGCGAACTGAAACATTTTTGCGCACAATTATAAAATTCGTTTGTCCAAAGATTACACCATGCAAAAAAATAAATGTTAGTAAATATTTATTATTTTATTTAATAATAGTCCGAAAAAGTTTGAATTGTAAGGTAGGCAGTTTTTTACATCATTTCAAAGTATGTATATTTTACCTGAAAGGATATAAAATGAGCAAAATCAGTCAAATAGTTTCTGAAAAATCGAATTTTAAAGAAGTGTATTTAAAATTCTGTCTCTAAGGAACTATGGAATTGATTTTGCTCAAATTTTATAGTTTGCCATGCACTACAAACTCTAATGATGTAAAAAATTGTATACTTTACAGTTCAAATTTTTTTGGACTATTATTAAATTAAATAATAAATGTTTGCTGATTTTTTTTTTTTTTTATGCATGGAATTATCATTGGATAAACAAATTTTATAATTGTGTGCAAAAATGTTTCAATTCGCTTAAAAAGTTCTCGAGATATGGCGAAATAGGCAAAAATGAACATTAAGGGGTCCAAACTTTATTTGCTCTCCTCGCCAAACTATGAAAACCATATTCCCCAGATTGCAGCTTCCTATATTTTGGAGATCAGAATCCATTTAAAAAAGTTATGTTTATTCAAAAAAAGTTTGTTTTTGTGTCTAATTTCGTAACCTAAAATATCGGTTGCGCTAATTAATTAGCAAATTTGACTATCGAACCATTAAGCTCGAGTCCTAGAACGTGAAGATCCGATTATTAGATCAAAAGTAATTCAGGGTAGTCCGTCTTTCTTTTTTTGCTCACTACTTTACCGAAAAACGCTATTTTCAAATGTGGTGAAAGGCTGGGATCTTTATACCATGAAAGAAATGGTTAGAAATCCAAGCTTTACAGTCTAAAAAAAATTTAGTAATTATAAACGAGTTGTATACAAATTACAAAAGTTTAAACTGAGAAGAGCAACCTGGAATGGAGTTGTTCAAAAATAACTGAGAAACAATTTTTTTTTCTGTTACATGAGATTGTTTAACAGTACTTTCGTATCGCTGATTTTAAAACTGACATGGGTTTCTCTCTCCAAGTTACAGTTTTTTTCTAGTGACATTTTTCGTCAAGGTTAAAACCGTTATATGAAACCAGAGGTCGCATAAATGCTGCAATGAACTTCTAGGGAATTTGGGGGTACATGCATGGGTGCCACTCTTCAGTCCTCAGGACTGAAATCTGTCTTTAGAGAAAGTCAGTGGTCTAAATTCAGTCCTATCCCGCAGTGAACCGATCGTTAAGACACGATTCCCAGTCAAGCATCACTGGCTGCGGTCAGTGTGCGGGTGGGAGACCACTTGGATCTGTCTACGAAGAGACCGAGGGTGTGCGGTATTGGTCCTCGTTAAACTGTGCTACCGTAAACTGCTCGACTTCGCGTGCAGGTCGTTGGGCTACCGAAGCGGGAGTGCCATCCCCTCTGCAGAGGATCAAAATTGTAATGGCATGTCTTCGGATCATCCTCAGGGATGTTTCTCAGAACGTCGTCAATAGCCCATTGTGCAGCTACGTAAATGAACTACAACAACTAAATTCAGTCCTCCAATTAATATATACTATTTTCAATTTGCTTTTCAAATTAATTTTCCAAAATATTTTTTTTTTCTTAAAAATGTAACGAATAGTTTTTATTAGAAATAAATAAAAAAAATATTACCTCTTTTCCATAATTATTCCTGTATTCCCCTCCAGATATTTAGACATGTTGGCGAAAGTTAAATTAATATTGTTTTTTTTTTATTGAAATTTATAGAGGTAAGACAAAAAAAATTAGTAATGGGGGACAAAAATCCAAGCTTGACTATGGGGGAGGGGAATAAAAATCCATTGATTATTCTAAGATTATATACTAACTGTTGTATTTGCCTTGTTTATTGTAAAAATATACTAATAAAATAAAGAAAAATAAATATTTTAAGAAATCATGAACAAGTTATTGATATAATATGCAAATCATTCTCGTGGAAAGCTACATTTTACTAGCTTCATTTCTAAAAAGTTATCTAAACAATTCTAGACCATGTTAATTAATCGAAAAAGTTCAGTGTTGACTTTTGTCTATAGTGGCACCCTTGGGCACATCATCAGGATAAAAATTGCATAGTATCCCGTGCCCAGAAATGTCAAACGCCACTACTTCCCTATTTCGTGATTTCTTGCATAGTAGCGATGAAATTATAATGGTATTTTACTCTCAGAAAAAAATTATAATTAGTGTTGCATGTTTTTAAACCTATAATTGATTATAGTTACAAAAGTATTAAAAACTAAGTTTAATTTCTTGTTAAATTTGCAATCGATAAGACTTCTTAAGTTGGTTTATATGTCATGAAAAATATAGTTCTTTGCATGTTTCTGCTATAGTTAGAAATAAAAATTATACCCTCTCTTATTACTGTAAAAAATATCATATATGGCATCTCTTTGATGTGCAGTGCGTCAAAAAGGAAAAAAAATCGACCACCCTGAATAATTTTTAATCTAATGATCGGATCTTTACGTTTTAAGTCGGACTTAATAGTTTGAGGGGGCAGGGTAACCTTAAATGTGCTAACAAATTAGGGCTTATGACATTTTAAGTTTCGAAATCATATTTAAAAACGTACTTTCAAAAACGAGAATTTTTTAAAACATTGGAAAATTTTTGCACACAATTATAAAGTTTGTTCATCCAAAAATAATTCTATGCAAAAACTAACTTATAATAAATATGTATTATTTTTTATAATATTAATTAAAGAGTCGAAAAAATTTCGAACTGAAAAGTACGCATTTTCTTCAAAGTATGTAATTTTGCATGGCAAAATACAAAATTTTAGCGAAATCGGTCAAATAATTCTTGAAAAAAAAAAACAAATTTTAAATATATGACTTTTTTATAAATGGTTAGAATTCGACAAAGGCTAGATTTGCACGCCAGTGCCTTAAATGGACGTCCACTGAGTGGCGACAAGTGGTTTTTACAGATGAATCACGTTTTATTCCTCATTTGCACGTCTTCAATCACGTTTTATACTGACAGCAAACACACTGTAACACTTTCCGGAAGGGTCCAAGCTAGAGGCGGGAGCATTATGGTCTGGTGAATATTTTCGTGGGATACTCTGGGTGCACTCACACTGGGGAAGGCACGATGTGTCGACACGAGTACGCATCTGTCCTAGCGGACAATTCCCAGCCTACATATACATTCTACTTGCGAATTGTATTTTCTGAATGGCATCTGCAGCAGGACAATGCGACATTACAGCTCGAAGTGTACGTGCGTGGTTCGAAGAGCACAACGATGAGTTCCTCGTACCTCCCTGGCCACCAATTTCCCCGAACTTAAACCCACTCGAGAATCTGTGGGATCACTTCGAGCCATGGATCCCCAACCGGGAAACATAGAGTAGCTGGGTACGGCTCTGGAGTCTGCTCGCTCAACATCGCAGTGAACACCTTCAAGAGCCTAATGGACTCTCTCACAGCACATCTCGCAGCAGTCTACACTGTAAAAGGTGGTTATTTCGACTTTTGACAAGTGATCACGTTAAAGTGACTGGATTGTGTAAATCTTGAATGTATTTCTTTATAAAAATCATTATTTAATCTCAAATCCTAAAATAAATTAAAATTTTATTAAAATAATTACTAATTAAATTTAAGTTTAATTAATTAATTAAAAGTAAATTAACTAAGGTAAATCAAATTTAATTTCGATAATATTATTATTATTATTATTATTTTATTTTTTTATGATTTGAATCCCGTTCGTCACTGCCTGAAAATCACAGAATCGTCGAGACAGAAAGTTGTTATACTCCTTCATGTATTATGATAACGGGTTGCTGATTTTTTACAAAAATTATAAGGACCGCCAATATTTTTATTAATCTTAAGAGCATTGGAAAAGAAATCTTATGTATTGCATTACATTTTTTCACATTACCCTCATTATATTTACGAAAATTTTTAAAGACCAAATAAGTATTTCGCAAATCCGACAAACGCGTGAGGGAAATTGTCAGTTTCTTTTTAGTTTTCAAACTTGAAAATATAATACAATAATAAAAATGTGTTGAAATGCTTTCGTGTTTTCCTTATTTGTATACAACAACCTTTGTTTGTATACACTATAGTGTCGCATCTTTATTTATTTTCAGACACACTGTATAAAAATATTTGGTAATTGCAAAATTATTATAATATGCTAAAGAAATAAAGGTCATTCTAGGTACAGGTCTATAAATGAAAAACTTTTTTCCTCTGAATTTTTTTCAAAAACAAATTGAAAAAAAGGATTTTTTTCAACAAAAAAAAAGGCAATTTCACAGGACTTTCTCTAAAAAATTACAATGTGTTACATAATCATGTGAAAAATGCTCAATAATCAAAATTCTGACACGTGCTTTGAACGTGTTATTTCTATTTATAACCTGAAATAAGTTTAGTTATATACAAATCTTTTATTAAGTTACATATTTATTTATTTATAGTTCATTTATAAATGAATTGAATGATTGAAAAATGGAGGGCTGTGTATCCTTTCTGTGTTGTCATTCTGTCTATGTCAGAATTACAATTTCTCATTGAAATATTTATCATCTAATCAGATGGTTTAATATGGTATACTTGTGAACATGCACTTTTTGTATTTAGAAGGAAAGACCAAGGTTATAGTGCCCGTTTTTTGACTTTGTCATTACTGACGCAGGTTCGGTTCCTGCTGATGAATTTATTTATATAAGCTATCAGTCTACACCGATCACAATGCTGAATATAATTTGCCAATTGTCTCCGTCCCCAGTAACATATGGATCATGAAAAGAGAATTCGGAAATGACTGTTCGTGTTAAATTTTTGACAGAATCTGTTGAGTGGAAAAAATTATGTATTTGATTTGACATCTTCTCCCAAACTCGCAGTCAAAGTTGCAGTTATGTTCTGTACGTCATTGAACTCTGATTTGTGACTAATTCAAGATGGCGCTTGTTTGTAGAGGATATGGGGGATGGATGGTGTCTAAGTACTATTTGTTGATTTTATATACTTTTCATTAGTACTTAAATGGAATGGACGAAGAGCACAAAGAACTTCTGAAATTTCATAGAACTAGGTTCTTACAATGTGTAGATATAGATCGTTTGATACCTCTACTTCAAACCAACGGAGTGTTGACTAATGATGACGTGACCGACCTAAAGAAATATAATAATTCCGGGGCGAAGGCAGAAAAACTTTTAGATTTACTGCCTTCTAAAGGCTCCCAAGCTTTCCAGGCATTTTGTTTGGCACTTGAAACAACATACCCTCATTTATTAACCGTTATGTTTCTTGGTGGTAACAAGAAAATGAGTGGTTGGTATATTTGCTTTCAGTTTCGTTTGTTTATTTTCTTGTCAATGTTTACATTTCTGTTAAAGATCATGCCTACGGTTTGTGAAGATATGCTCATTACGTTTGTCGATTAAATCAAGTTATAAGCTGGATATCTCATTTTCTATGATATGTACTCGTGTGTAGGTACTTTGATTTGATATGGAGTTTAAATTTCTATATGGGGCATGTACCTAGCTACATGTTTTCTTAGCAATAACGAATTGCTAATTTCAATGATATTTCGATAAAAATCTATTATATCTCAAGCTTAACCTCAAATCTAAATCTGTTTATTATAAAAATTATGATCTTTAATGCTTTTTGCTCGCTATTTTATATGATTTTTTTTCCTATCAAACGTTTGACTACACACTTTGTTCAGATTTCCTTTCAAAGTTAATAAATTCAGTATTTTTCCATAAAATATTTGCTTAAAGTAAATATTCTCTGAAAGGTATATTATTCCATAGGTATCCATGCAGTAATTCTGCATGTTTTATATATATATTGCTTTATTTTTCTAAACAATCTATATTTATTTATAATAAGAGATCAAATTAATTAATGTAAATAGTGTACTGTATATTGAAAAAGCTAAGATTTTCTGGGAATTGTCATTGTTAGAGTCTTAAGTTAATATTGAGTCAGAATCTGTTGAGACTCTTTATGGGATATTTTATATCATTTAGAGTGTTTTTATTTTATATTTTGTTTATTTCTCAATAAACCATTTGATGACATCATTTTCATTGGTCTGTGAAGAAACTTAAAGGCTCAATGGAGATTTGGGTCACAGTGCTCACTGTGACTTGTTGTCCTGTTCCTTTTCAAATGAATGAATACTTAAAATTCAAATAAGCAAATATCTCCTATGTATTTTGTTTCTACATTATCAGACAAATCTAAAGTTTTAAATAGTGGTATATATATTTTTATATTTTATTTATTTTGTACATATCCATTATATTTTGTTTCATTTTCAGCTTTAAGGAACATAATTTTTTTTGTGATGTTATAATTTGTATCTTAATATATTTTTAATGTTTACTCTTTTATTATATAATGTCAATATATTTGTGTACTAATTTAGTGGTTACTAATTTGCACTGTTTAAATATCCAACTTTCTTTATTGTTATCATTAACACATTCATATTCTTTGCTGCATAGTATTAGTAAATAAATACTGATGAATAAGTTGTAATTAATGCTATTAGTGTAAAAGTCTTAGCTTTGTGTTAATGAGTACTATTAGTCTTTTTTAACAACCCATTATTTTATCAAGTTGCATTTGACTATTTTGGAGAATTTCTACTATTTTGTCTCTTCTATTAAACTCAAGGTAAATTAAGATGTCTAATCATCTCTATACAGTGAATGATTTCTGAAATCAACCAATTTTTAAAAGTTGAAAAGTATTAACATGTCAAGACAGTGTTTTCACTACAGCCCGAAAATCTCGCCTATTTTTTTCTTTTCTCGCAATAAAAAACGATTAACGCGAGAAGTTCACACACTCTATTAATCAATTTCAAAGTGCATAAATTTTGGAAAAAATTTCGTCTTTTGCCATTTTGAATAAAATCCCTTTCACTTTTCTTCCTTGATCTTTCATTATTTTGAACATCGGTCCTTGTTATCTAGCTTCCCTATTTATCAGTATTGTTCAGAACCGGTACGAACAGCAGAGCTCCCTTGAACCACGGAACCACTTTTAGAACACATTTCTCTGCAACCACGTGTTCACCGTAGGTAAGGTTTCTTCATGTAAGACATTTAAATTTTTTGTGCATGAATAACTTGTCAAATGATGGACAAATACTTTGTTAAGGCGACATCTTCTACTCCGTAACGGAAAGATGAAAATGAAACCAATGTCGGTAGAAACGGTCAAAACGAAACAAATACGGATATTTTTCAGCCAAATATGAAAAAGTAGATATAGAACATTTTCCATATGATGATGCAGCAAAAATATTCAATTAGAAGATGTGAANATGAAATCATAGTTTCAAAATATTCTAAGCTTTAATAAAGTTATTTTGAGAAAATATGTTTGTTACTTTAAAATATAACATAAATAGAATATAAGAAAAGTGTACAATTACTTTTAAAAATTTGTTCCAAAACTAGGCCTAATCACTGTTCTAAGCTACTTGATAAAACATAAAGTTTTGGAGCATAGTATTGCCATCACATCAATTGTAAAATGTTTGATAATATGAAATTCTTAAAGTTTGATTATTGTACTTGTGCTAAAATAAGATCAAAACCTTGAAAAAAAATATTTATAAAATGGTAGTAAGGGTTACAGTTACATGGAATTAGCCATTTGTATGCAAGAAACTAAAAAGAGAACCAGATAATCAATTTAACTTTGAGGATATTTGATCATTTGGCGTAAACAGTTATTTATGTGGAAATGCCTCTGATGACAGTCTCCCAAATTTGAATTGATTTATACTAATTCTCTTACTCAGATTCTTGCTATTGAACATCTTGTAAATAGAAAATTAAAAGTAATTATTTCAGCCTGCTGAACACTTATTCACTTTAAAAAGAAGGAAGAAATATTGGTTAAAATCTAAGTATATTTGGTACTTCCTTAATAAATGCATAATTTTAATTGCATAAGTATTTCATTTTTAATAATGATTTTAGGTTTAGGTGATGATGTAATTAGAAACAGCCCATCTTCAGCTCCTCAGTCCTTATGCTCTCATCAAGATATCGATTTATCGCAAAATATCAAAACAGATATCCACCTTGTTAATAGTGAAAGAGATGGATGGCGCCGTAGTCATTCTAAAGTATGTATTCTATTTCGTTTTACATGCTGTATGTGTTTTATAATAATAAATATTCATCTTAAAATATTGTCGTGCAAGTTATTTTTCTATGACTGTCTAATAAATTGTATTTCGCTAATGATTGCCATAATCTTGTTTCTTCATCAATTCATTCTGGCATTGTTCCAAACTAAAAGTAGAGTCAGCTGGCAAGAGTTTATTTAAGTGAAATTTGGTCCATTATGCTTCAAGATGTCTTTCGTTAAATGCTAATATTTTTCAATGTCTTAATATAACTATTTCAAAAAAATAAAATAATAATAATTTTATAAAAATATTGTAGTTGGTAAAAAAACAAAAAAATTTTAAACGCATTTTAGATTTTTTTTTTAAATATGTAACCGTCGTTGAAGAGCCAACCCTATTTTGAGTTTACACTATCAATATCTTGAGCGTAACCCAGAACACTAAGAAACTCCAGGATCAAGCATTGGAACCTAGCCTTCGTGGAGTGCTTTTTGATGAAACTAACCCACATTTTGTTACATGGGAAAGAAAACCCCCACAGTTTGCCCAATGGTAAGGGGATTGAGGATGCCACTGTGGATTATTTTACGTCAACACTGTGCAGCTAGGCCGTGAGAAATTTTTTTATCAAACAGCCACTGCTACGATTAGAACCAAGTCACCACATTAGGAGATGAACGTTCTACCCCCAGAACCACCATGGCTCCCAATTTTAAATAAATGTATTTTAAATTTTTTTTAATGATCAGCAATTTTCACCTTTTATGTGAAGCCACATTCAGCCATAAATTACACACCTCTTTAACTAAATAATGAATTCTCACTTTTTTTTGTTGATAATTTCCTCCCAAGATCATACATCGTATGAAACTTTTGTATTAAAAATAGTTAATTTTCTTACAGGGGGATCGTGATAATTCTTACCGAAGACTAACAACTAGTGGTGACAGCATGATTTCATCACTCAGTACCCTGAGTAAAAATACAGGTATTTTACTTTTTCAAAACATTTATTCTGTTTCAATGAATTTATCTATGCAATATGAACATTCTCATGCATGTACTTGTTTATTTTGTAGGTGTTAGTACCAGCGATCATTCTTTAAACTCTAGAGACTATGACAGTTTACACCAAGTCAATGATACACATCGATACACCACAAATGAATTTATTCACAAGCAAGAAATATCCCTGAGAGACACTGATTTCTATCATCCAAAGCCAAAGGTATAACAGTGATATTCAATTCTCTTATTATTTTACCAACTTTGATTAAAATTATGCTAAAAATTAACCCATATCCAACTCATAAATTTTTAAACTTATAAATGTTAAACAGGGTGCGTAGCGTTTTTAAAAAGTGCTTAAAGGTGCTTATTTTCGTTTGTTAAAAGCCCTTAAAGGTGCTTATTTTCGTTTGTTAAAAGCCCTTAAAGGTGCTTTTTTTCCATGGGTGTTTTAAAAAGTGCTTAATTTTCCCTTTTTTGAAATGTGATATTTTTCTTTACCTTGTTGATTTTCGCCACAAATTATGCAAAAAGACATTGTCCTATTCAACGTCTTCACAATTAATTCACCCCCATTCTATTTCGGCAAACCGCCGGTCTGTAGTCTTATGAAAACACCATTTGTTTTATATGTTTAATGAAATACTTGCGGGTCTGCTCTTGCGTATACTGAACTGGATTCAGTGGTAAGGATTTTTGACTCTCATGTGCAACCCTGCTGCATTTTGCAAGAGATACTCAATTTCAGGCGTCATTTTCCACCCTCTGTAATAGAATTTAAAAATCTCTCAAATTTTTGCTGATTTGCGGTTTTTCAGCTTTAAAAGTGCTCCAACCTTTTCCAGTTATTGAATTTTTGAAAATGTAAAATGAATGTTTGCTAAAAGTCTGCGATTGATAACAGTTTCAGTATGAGTTTATTGCCCAATATTCTTGTTGCTTTTAAAGAGCACATTGTTTTGCAATTTTATTCTTTCTTTATTTACTTTGGTGTGTCTCTGTTCAGTCTATACCATAATAAATATTAACTGAATAGCAAGCTCCATTATTAAATCATGGTTAATAACAATAGTAAATTTAAAAAAAAAAGAAATCTGTTTGTCTAGATCTGTCTGTTTTGGTTTGTGTTTATGTCAGATTTAAATCAATTATATCAAGTCTTAAGTTTAATTTTTTTATTATTTCGAGTATTTAACTATCATAGCTATAACCTATAATCTATTTTATTTGTGTTTAATCTCCTCAGATTTGTAAAAAATAAATTTTTTTATTTTAGTTTCATAGCTGTAAAGTTTTTTCTCAAAATATTTGTTGAGAGTTATAATTTTAATATTGTGAGGAAACTTTGTTGCTTCCTTCAGTAGCCGTCAAGGGTTGTATAGTGGAATATATGAATGTTCATTTGGGCCAATATTGAATGAATAAAACAATTACGTTTCCAGGAAATAATGTACAAATCGCTGAATGTAACTTTAGATTTTATTAAGTATAATTTGATTCAGAAAGTGGCCACATCTTCATCCAAAATAAGAAATCCCTTAAAGGGATGAAATAATAATACTCTCTTTTGAGAGATCATAAAGCCAGAACAACATTTCTGACGGTTAGAAAATTGAGACTGGGAGGCCCCNACAAGCAAGAAATATCCCTGAGAGACACTGATTTCTATCATCCAAAGCCAAAGGTATAACAGTGATATTCAATTCTCTTATTATTTTACCAACTTTGATTAAAATTATGCTAAAAATTAACCCATATCCAACTCATAAATTTTTAAACTTATAAATGTTAAACAGGGTGCGTAGCGTTTTTAAAAAGTGCTTAAAGGTGCTTATTTTCGTTTGTTAAAAGCCCTTAAAGGTGCTTATTTTCGTTTGTTAAAAGCCCTTAAAGGTGCTTATTTTCGTTTGTTAAAAGCCCTTAAAGGTGCTTTTTTTCCATGGGTGTTTTAAAAAGTGCTTAATTTTCCCTTTTTCGAAATGTGATATTTTTCTTTACCTTGTTGATTTTCGCCACAAATTATGCAAAAAGACATTGTCCTATTCAACGTCTTCACAATTAATTCACCCCCAATCTATTTCGGCAAACCGCCGGTCTGTAGTCTTATGAAAATACCATTTGTTTTATATGTTTAATGAAATACTTGCGGGTCCGCTCTTTCGTATACTGAGCTGGATTCAGTGGTAAAGATTTTTGACTCTCATGTGCAACCCTGCTGCATTTTGCAAGAGATACTCAATTTCCGACGTCATTTTCCACCCTCTGTAATAGAATTGAAAAATCTCTCAAATTTTTGCTGATTACGGGGACCAACTAAACATTGTCAATTTTTTTTCTCTATTAGTGATAGAAAATTTCATTTCTCTTGTTAATTTCATCGTTTGTGACGCACCATCGTCTTCGTCACTGTAAATAAAACCAGATAAAACAATCAATTGTCAAAAATTTGCCTACCCTGTCTAATTATGATATTTTTCAAAGCTCTTAAAAATATTTTTTGAGTGCTTAAAAGGTGCTTATTTTTTGTTGAAAAATTTGGTTACGCACCATGTAAAAGTAAAGCTAATCGGATTATATAGTTTTGATTGGCAGCATAATTTTGAACAATACTGTTGTGTTCAAAAAGAGTTCAGTGTGTTCTGTTTGCCTTGTTCAAAATTTATATAAGTAAGGTTTTTGACTGTATCTTTAGTTTTAGTGAGAGCCAATATAAAATAAACATGCAGGTTATATCAATACTGTCCTGTAGTAAATGATATTAAGTAATTTAATAACTTTATCAAAATGGTTTTTCAGCTTTAAAAATGCTTCAACCTTTTCCAGTTATTGAATTTTTGAAAATGTAAAATGAATGTTTGCTGAAAGTCTGCGATTGATAACAGTTTCAGTATGAGTTTATTGTCCAATATTCTTGTTGCTTTTAAAGAGCACATTGTTTTGCAATTTTATTCTTTCTTTATTTACTTTGGTGTGTCTCTGTTCAGTCTATACCATAATAAATATTAACTGAATAGCAAGCTCCATTATTAAATCATGGTTAATAACAATAGTAAATTTAAAAAAAAAAAGAAATCTGTTTGTCTAGATCTGTCTGTTTTGGTATGTGTATATGTCAGATTTAAATCAATTATATCAAGTCTAAGTTTAATTTTTTTATTATTTCGAGTATTTAACTATCATAGAACATTCTGTTAACCTATAATCTATTTTATTTGTGTTTAATCTCCTCAGATTTGTAAAAAATAAAATTTTTTATTTTAGTTTCATAGCTGTAAAGTTTTTTCTCAAAATATTTGTTGATAGTTATAATTTTAATATAATAATATTTTGTTATAATTTTGCTAATATTAAATTATTAGTGCCCCACTAGATAATTACTCTTATTGCAAAAACAATAAAACTATTAAAATCTTATTTGCATGTCAAAACTTTAATTCAAGTTGTCCATTTCTGTTTTAGATATAATAGGATGAATGTGTTATAAATATAAATGTGTTATAAATATATGGAAATTGAAATATTAAGAAATTCAGAAACTTTTACATTGTATCATTCAAGAATTTGTTTTTTTTCTTTTCCTCACCAATAAATTATTTGCTTTCATTTAGGCTTCTACATTAAAAATGGAAGATCAGCGTCATGAAACTATTATTTTAAAGAAGCAGTATAATGAACTATTAGCAGATAAACACCGATTGGAGCAAGAAATTGAAAGGTTAAAGAGATTTAGGGAAGAAGATCGTAAAGAAGTTAATGAACTGCAAAGACAGCAGGTAATACTTTATTTTCTTTAATAAATTCAGTTTTTTTTCACTCCATATATAAAATAGCTAAAATTTAAATTAATTTAAATAAAATACAGATTTATTTCTAGTTTATTTTTATTTTTTTTTGTCGGATAAGTAGCTTTATGTTGATGAGAAAAATATATTTTTCCTTTTATGTCTAATTTTGCTAATGAAGTAACAAGGTGAATTTAGGCTTTACTGAATAAAAGCAGAAAGACTGAGAAAACTTAAACCAATCCTCTGGATGATTATTTGATTATAGTTTGTTACCTTGCAAACTTAAGGTAGAAACACTGACCCATTCTTTCTTATTTTACACAGTATGCTTAGTTAAGACTGGGCCAAAGGCCCCTGCTTCAAAAAGCAAAAAGTTTCATTTTAGATTTAGTGGAATTTTTGAATACCCTTTTTTCAAAATTGTAATTTTTATATAGATGTATTGTATCTTCATATATCTTATTTCATCCGTGATAACGATATATAAAATTTTTTTTATTTTGGATTTATTATTTTTATTGGAAACTATTCGATTTTATTGTGCCACATATTGGTCTTTTGTAAAAAGATTGAATTTTATAGTGTTATGTAATGATTAAGAATCATTTAATGTTTAAATATAAATTTTAAATAAACTTAATTTCAGTCCAAATATTTTTTGAACAAAATATAATTGAAGAAAAAGCGCATATAATTACCATTATTATTTAATTATGCTTCCCCAAAATCATCATTATAGTACTAAATTCTAAGCGCATTTTCCCCCTAATACATACATATATATAATTCTTCGTTGCTAACAAAATTTCTAATTATTACATTGGGAATTAATTTTTGACAGACATGGTGGGTCCTGTTGCTTCAGTTGCAGTTGTTGAACTTTTTGTTTCACATTGTAAATTTTAGTTCTGATCTTTTTCTTTTGAATGCACATTGAAGTACAAAATCAACAAATAATTTGTATCAATTATAATTCCATGTTTTCCTCATAAAATTAGGTGTTTTGAACCAAGTTCTACATTGATGATTTGGAATTAAACATTAGTTTAGGCACCTGCAGTGATTTTGCTTAAAATCAAATTGACACAGATTGCATAAAATATCCAGCATAGTAAAAACATTTATTTGTGTAGTTAATGATTACTGTTACATAAAAAAAGAAGGGAAAAAAACAATGCATTAAGCTCTCTATAAATTTTAGGTTCATTAAAAGAAAAGGCATCAACTTTTACATTAATTCAATTATGTGGAATTTTTATTTTTCCGAAAAGATTAGGGTTGGCAAATAATGTTGTATTAATTTCCTATTTTTAATGTCATTAAATTAAAACAGTTCTAATTTTCTTTTGGGTAAGTGCTGGTTTTTAACGTAACATTTTTGGGGAAAATTGACTGTTCTCCATTTAGCAGTTGAGATTGTCTCATTGAATTTATTTATTTGCCAGGAATTGTTGACAGAGAATGGAGGAGATGCTGCTCATCAGTTGTACTTAAATGCTGTGAGAAAGTGTGAAGCTATGAAGGAGGAGTATGATAGTCTTCACAAAAGATATGCTGATCTTATGGCATCACATAGTGCCACAATATCCAAGTTGGAGGTTACTCAAGAAGAGTTGAGTTGCTGGAGGAAACGTTACGAAGATCTAGTTCATGAGCGTAATGCTGCTTTGCATGAAAGGAATGGCCTGCAACAGCAATGCACTGCTGCCATCAGACAGTGGGACAATGCTTTGCGAGAAAGAAATGAAGCTAGGGAACAGCTTGCAAAGGTGATTATCAAATTGCTTACGTTATTAAAGAAAGATAAATGTTTATTTTTTTGTTATGTTATCCTTTCTATCATGGAATTTGTCCTGTAAATTATTATATACCATATTAAATTTGAGACTTTTCACTCCATGAAGCAGCGTTTAAGAAAAGTATTATTAGTTCATGTTATAAATTTTCTGTACTTTAAATAATCTTAATTCATTTTCTAGCTCATTCATTCATCTTTTTTTATTTCATGTCCTTTTCCTCTTTTTTTTGTTTTGTTTTTTTTTTTTCAATTGGATGCTTGTTTAGCTTAATTTTTATCTTTAGTCTTTATTCATAAAGTTACATAACTTTTGTGTATTTACGAAAATATATGCTTAATGATGCTCTTTAAGAATTTGATAAATAGTTGCATTGAACTGATCATTGTTTTATTCATTCTGAGACAAATATTGGTATTTAACCTGCTTTGATATTCATTTTTAATTACTGCTTTGAAGAAATTGTAGATGTATTTTTGTTAGTACAATAGTCTTTTTCCATAATTCTTGATTCTCCATGATTTTTTTTTGTTTTTATTTGAAAATATAGTTTTATATATCTGAGTCCCTTTCTTTATTTTATTCATTTTAAAGACGTTAAAAATGTCATTATTTTTTAGATATGCTTTAAATATTATGTTTCTAAGTATAGATCAAACATATTTATTATCTATTAAATACTGAATAATATAAAATGTAAGAAAAAAAATTGTTTTTTATAACTCAAATAGGAAAATGAGGAGTAATTTTACATGTTTAAGCACATTTTGAATAAACTTTGTAATTCTTGAATGTACATTTTATAGGTGCAACAACAACGTGATGAAGCTATGAAAGAAATTAATCAAGCCATGGCCGTGAGGATCAAAGCTACAAAAGATCTGGCCAGACTGACAGAAGAAAGAAATGCTGCTGTGCAAGAATATTCTCTCATCATGTCTGAACGTGATACAGTGCATAAAGAGATGGAAAGATTGCAAGAAGAACTAACAGAAGCTCAAAAACGAGCAAAGAGTTCTGAGGGAACTAATAAAGCAACTACTGAAGAAGTAAGATATTTTTTTCCTAAATTATATTAGGGGGACTGGAAAGTAATGTCATTTCGGCGCATTAAATATTCGCTAGTCTTAAAAATCAATTATTTTTTTTCAATTCATTTTTCGATCCAGCATTGAAAGGTTGTTGCTAATGAAGGTGAATACATTATTGATTAAAAATAAAATCTTGATAACAAACATCAAATACACCGAAACTACATTACTTTCCTGACCCTCTAATACTATTCAAAGAATCATTTTACTTCTACAATCTTTTAAAATTTATAATTTTTTATTTCAATACATTTGATGTATAGAAATAAATTCAAGGTCTATATCTAATATTTCTCAATTACTATACTAATTGATAGGTATGAAATTAATGCATTTTAATACCTTTATTTCTCTTCAATACCTAGAACTTTAGTTTCCTTTTTTTGTGAATATTGAATTTTAAAATTTTATTAGCATTAAATTCATAATTATTTTAAGGTATACTTTTGCATTGTACATTATTAACATTTATAATTTTAAAAATCAATTTTTGAAACAAAAGAAATATTTATCGCATAGTTGTTAACTTTAGATTTGTAAGTGGCAATCCAATCGTCATATAAAAAAATTCTAAAGATGTTTGATTTTTTTTAATTTTGCATTCTGCATATTAAAACATTTTTATTTAATGATCTACTGGTCAGTTCAGTTTTGTTTCAGTATGAGAGCTTGACTTAGTTTGTTTTAATGAGAGCCTATCACATTGATTCAAAAATATGTGTTAATGCAGGAAAAAAAAAAGACATAAACAAAATTTTTATTTTAAATATAAGAATTTTGACTGTATATGATGATTTTGTTTTGCATGATATAAAATATCTTGAAAAAGCTTAAATTTTTTTGTTTAATTTTAGGTTGAAACATTAAGGCGAGAAATATCATCTGCCCTCCAAGATCGCGATAGGGCTCTTAAAGAGTGCAATGATTTGAGAGAAAAATACGGAGATTATGTTACTGGTCGAGAAGAAAGTCCTCGGAATAAAGATCGAAGAAAGTGTGAGCCTCATTGGGATTCTGTGGGAAGAGATATTTCTCGCAAAGAACGCGACAACCAGTGGGAGAACACTCATGATAATATGATCAAAACTCATGGCCAATGGCTAGATGATTTGGATCAAGCAAATTCAGAAATCGAGAGTTTAAGACATCAAGTGGAGAAGCTGAACACTGAATTGAATGGTTTGTATTCCTTTCATAAATTTAAATTACCAAAATAATATTTTTATTTTATTGGAAGCTCATTTATGAGATGCTTGTAAACGTACCAGTGAAAATATGTGCAGGGTAATAATATTTTACAGTTACTGGACCTTCAGATCAGCTACTAAATTTTCTTAATTTCTATCCCTAAGAGTAAATTTTCAAAATCTCTTTTTTTTTTTGCCTCATTTTGTGTGCAAATGAAAATAATTACAGATAATAATTAAAGTATGAAAATAATTAAAGTCTGACAACATTATTATTTTAAACTTCTTTTTCTAACACATTTCTTAATGGATATTTTTAGATTGATTCAAAAATTGGTAAAAATTTAAGGCTGATTCAAAAATTGGTGAAAATTTAAAGCAAATTTTGAGCAGATTAGATTAGTTTCTACATTTCAAAAAATAAAAATTTGAATTAAAAAAAATCTATATTTTTAACATGTTAAACTTAAATTGAAAATTTCTAATATTTTTTAGTGTCCACTTTTTCATTATTTGAAGAATTTTATTAGCTGACCATTTATTAAATATATTAAATCAATGATGTGGCTTATTCATTTAATTTTAAGCATATTATATTGAAAGTAACTAGTATTTAAAGATAAGTTTTCTTATCCAAACTAATTAAATTCATAAGTTTTTATTTTCTTTACTATACTTATTTTGTATTTTTATCTTTAAAAGTGAAAACCAAATAAAAGGTAATACATTCTGGTATTTGAAGTACTGAGAAATAAGGAAACAACATTTTCAAAAGACATGAAAGTGACCCAATTGCACATTATTTGACATTAAATCCCTAATTAAAGCTTACATAATTTCATAATTAATTTAGTAGCTTAAAAAGGCAATATTTCCATTTACGTATTTTATTGTCAAATGTCATTTTATCAAATTAATCTATTTTTACAATTTCTACTTTTCTATTATCAGTTAAATTTAATTTCAATTTGTAGCTAAGAAATTGCATTTTAATAATAAAAATTTTTAAAAATAAATATTACTTTTTACAGAGGCCCAGCAAGAAGCAGAAGTTTGCAAAAGACGTAGAGATTGGGCTTTTAGTGAAAGAGATAAGATAGTTCTTGAAAGAGAAAGTATCCGATCTTTGTGTGATAAATTAAGAAAAGAGAGAGACCGAGCAGTCAGCGATCTTGCCGAAGCGTTAAGGGATTCAGATGATGTTAAAAAGCAAAAGAATGAAGCTTCAAAGGAACTTAAAGAATTGAGGTATTTCTTTATTTAATCTAGTTCCCCTTTTTCTTATCGCCTTCCCTATTCCCTTAAAAAAAAAACTACAAATGTCCGTTTTTTTCTTATTCCTACCTTTGTTTTAGAAATTAATTTTTTTGTGTCAATTTTGATAATTTTTTAACTGGGTAGTTCTCTGCAAATAGGCTTAAAATATGTATCCATCTTCCCCTAACCCCATTATTTACATGTTAAGATAGACTCGTTTAGCACTGTTTTGCATTACGCTCTACTTTAATGGAACATATCCTACACGTTAAGCGGGGTCTTACTGTATTTCAGTTATATTTCATTTAGGATATTTCAGTTTTTTCTCTGGAAAGTTATTTGTTCAATATCTAGTTTGAAGTATTATTGAAAAAAAATTTTTTTTTGAAATAACTATTTTTTATTCATTTTTGAAACTACGAAATCTCATTCCTTCACCTCACCTTTTAAAATAAACACTTGTAGTGTTAAATATTATGTTAATTTTTTGGTCTTTAAATTATTTATTTAGCAAAAAAGTTTGAAACTCATAATAAATATCATTTCCTCACTCATAGGGATTCAGAATATTTCAGATGGATGGTATTATTACTTGACTAGAAGCAGTGCATATGTTTTTATACATTTGCAAAACAAATTTAATTAGATTCTGAAAAGTTTTTCAGTGTATTAAAAGAAACTGAATAAATAAATGGATGGTGTTTTCTACACTAGGGAACGCTGCAAGCTCGCGACTGCCTAAATTTCCGGGTTACTGTTTCAGTTGTATTTTAAAGGCATTTGGCATCATTGTGTTTTGAGATTCTTGCAAACAATGTATTTGATTACTTATTACTTATGTTTACAATGTTAACAATACTTGTGTTTGCAATACCAAAAGTGTTAACACCAACGTAAGACGGTGCACAGCTTGCAACACAAAACAGTAATAAACAAATGGAAAGAGGCCAAATCAAGACTGCCAAAAAAGCGAGATATTCAAATTCTAGCAACCATGTCACCTTTTTTAATAATAAATAACAAAATAACTGAAACAAATTTTCACTCCAAACTCCCCAGAATTACATAATAACATTAATATCTTATGAAATACGGCAGATTTGAGCTCAGAAATTATCTAATTTATTTCTTTTATTGAAAACAAAATTATCCGTTTGAAAACATCGCCTATCAGAATAGCATGTAATAAGCAGCTGCAAACTTTTTAACTGGAACTAGAATAGGTGCCGAGCTCGAGATTGTTATTGTTTACATTCCTATTGAAAACACCATCCATTAGATAAGTGTTAAAATGACACTCTCATTTCCTCACTTATCACTTCACACCTTACAGCGAGAGAAAAGCACTTTTGTAATTTGTAAAGTTAATTTAATTTCTAAAAATGTGTTACAATGTGCTCGAATTTTCTCTAATGAGATTGTTTAATAATATATATTGTCATTTTGATTACTGGTATAAGCTTCAAAAGCAAATAATGTTATCTTCTCATTCCTTCATCATGAGAAAATGACATTTTTGTGAGGGATTGATTCTTATGTTTTTAAAGACTAGTTAAAAAAAATATTTTTGTTTCACTTTATTAGTTTTTAAACCAGTTGAGGACAGACGTATATTTAAATATATTCATTAATATTATTATTTTAAACACATTTATTAATAAAATTATTATTCCCACAAATGTTATCTTTTCCTCACATTAATAAAAACATATAATAATTTCAGTATTTCTTTTAAATATGAAGCATGACTGCTCTGTTTTCCTTGTCCTGTACCTTTTCCTGTATCTTATTAAGAAAAACTAGACATTTCTGACAACAAAAAAAAAAAAATATTCTTATTGTCACTACCTGAAAATAGCATATTTGTAGAGAATGAACCAAATAGTAATGTAAAATTATTATCAAATTTTAATTCTTGCATTTACTTTTTTGTAGTTTTTGTAAAAACCAATGCTAATGATGTTTTAGACTAGGCTGTTTCACATTTGGAAATTTCATTTACTGTATAACTTTGCTTATATTATGTAATATATTTGCATGCACCCGTTTTATATCATAATTGTGGTATTCTTGTATTTTGTAGTAGTTTATACAGAGGTTTTTACTCTGTTTTTGAATAATAAACTGAGTTAACTAGCAAAAGGGGAGGATAATGTGTGTATTTTGTCTATTTCAAATTGCATAACAAAAGATGAATATGACAATCGTTTCTGGTTGGCTAATTTTAGAAATTTTTTAAATCATATCTTCATAGCTGCCAACTGAACTGGATTTTTAAGTACTGGTCTACTGGTTTAATATAAATTCTCCCGGTTTTTGAACATTTGAGAAAATTCCATAAAATTGAGTGAGTTTCCTTAAAAAAAATCCCTATTGAAATAAAATTTTTATACAGATTACTGTTTGCTTATTTATTTAAGTAAGTGTCACTAATACAGGAAGCGAGCCTCATTTATAGAATTCAGTTAACTATCTCTATCTTTGATGAATTAAATATCTGTAATTGGCAAATCAGACCAAAATTATGAATAAGGATGATATATAACATTTTAAGATAATTTAATATGAAACCATAACTGGAAAATATTGTAGTTTTTCTATTTTGATGGCTAAGAAAATCCCTTAAATTCCCTATGTGTAAAAGCATATTTTGCAACAATTATCAGAAAATTTATGTATCGTAAATTGTACTGGATTTTTTCCTATCAGTGTTGGCAGCTATTTTGCTACTTGGGGAAGTCTTTTTTTTCTTCTTACTTTTAAATCTATAACTGTTATATCTGTAATTTATTTTTGTATTTAAGGTGCACATTATATCACAGATTGTACAGTAAATTATTTGTTGTAAATTTATTAATCCTGAATTTAAATATTTTCTCAAGCCATCTAATGGAGAGTGAAATCTTTAATTTATTTGCAGAGAGAAGATAGAAGCACAGTTGGAGAAAGAATCCAGAATGAAACAACTTAATTCAGTTGGGAACAATCATAGTCGAGACTCTGCAATTGATGCAGATATGCAAGAGTGGGATACAGAGACTGTTGAAGTAGCAATTGTAAGTTTAAATAATGTTTATTTTTATTTATTTGAAGGTTGTTGTATCAAAGTGTTTTATTTAATGAAATTAATTACAATTACTTGAGAAAATAGGTTACTTTTGTTTTNTTATTGTTACTACCTGAAAATAGCATATTTGTAGAGAATGAACCAAATAGTAATGCAAAATTATTATCAAATTTTAATTCTTGAATTTACTTTTTTGTAGTTTTTATGAAAACTAATGCTAATGATGTTTTAAACTAGGCTGTTTCACATTTGGAAATTTTATGTACTGTATAATTTTGCTTATATTATGTAATATATTTGCATATATTTTTGTAACGTTTCGGCACTTCTGTATGGCATGCGCCCATTTTATATCGTAATTCTGATATTCTTGTACTTGTAATTTATGCGAAGGTTTTTGCCCGGATTTTGAATAATAAACTGAATTGACTGGCAAAGAAAGGGAATAATGTATGTATTTTGTTTATTACAAAGTGCATAACAAAAGATGAATATGACAAATGTTTCTGGTTGGCCAATTATGGAAATTTTAAATTTTTTTTAATGAAAAACATTTTGGTACATGGGAAAGACTATTTTTGTTTTGTTCTTTTCATAATCTATCATTTTTATGTCTGACATATCTGTAATTTATTTTTGTAATAAAGGGGCACATTATATAACAGAATATGCATTTTATTATTTGTTGTAAATTGATTAATCCTGAATTTTAATATTTTCACAAGCCACTTAATGGAGAGTGAAATCTTTATTTGCAGAGAGAAGATAGAAGCACAGTTGGAGAAAGAATCCAGAATGAAACAACTTAATTCAGTTGGGAACAATCATAGTCGAGACTCTGCAATTGATGCAGATATGCAAGAGTGGGATACAGAGACTGTTGAAGTAGCAATTGTAAGTTTAAATAATGTTTATTTTTTTATTTATTTGAAGGTTGTTGTAACAAAGTGTTTTATTTAATGAAATTAATTACAACTAATTAATTAAATATGTTACTTTTGTTTTTGTTTGAAATTACACAAAGAAATTTAGTTAAAATTTGTTTCTGGTAATATGACACAAAAACTAATTGATATTTTTTTAATAGGATTGTTAAAAAATATGTTTACTTCTTTGAAACTATTCAATCAAGATTAACTTATTTTTAAACCTGATTCATTATAAATTGATTGCTAAATTGGTGGATTTTTTTTGCTGTAATTAATGCACAAAAATTGCATTTTGTACTTTAATTTTTATGCATATATGATACGAAAGAGTAATTATCCTGCTGTTAAAACTATATTTTGTCTATGATTCCTATTTACTTAAGCTATTACAGCTTAAGTAATTCATCCAAACAGTCCCATTCCATTTCCGGATGTCCATTTGCATTGGAAACGGTAACTCTCTATTTTCTGGACAATTTGTAACATTCAAAATAAATTAAGCTATTTTTCAGCATTTATTTGTTTATGTTTACACTTGTGGATCTGTTAAAGAAAAGTGTATGAAATTGGTTGTAGGAAATAGACATAATTATTATGATCGATATATCATATTTTTTTTTTATCCAATAAAATATTTTTATGTTTGTTTACCTTAAAGACCTATCACCCAGAAAAATGTATTTTCCGAACTTGTCGTAGTCCCGTTGATTACGAATATGGAACTTTCCACTGTTTAATTATTTTTAGCAATTATTTGTTGTACCAAGACCCTTTCCTAACTACTCCTGCCTAATTATTTTACATTTTTGTTCACGTTTGTTTCCCTATTCAGATCTTATAAGTCTGAGTTGTATGTAGAAGATAGTTAATTTATTGTTGAAGATAGTTAAAATTATTCTTTTTTTTTATTATTTAGAGAAGTTAATTGTATTTTACCATCCGTAAATTTTTCATTTATATTCTATTTGTTGTGTGGTTTTGTATTGCTATTTTTTATGTCTTATTAAAATAACTCTTCCATTCTCAGAATTTGTAAGTAAAAGATTATTTAGCACATTAGGTATGCCAGTAGAGCTAGTATAACTTTCCAGCTAATATAATAGTTCACACAGAGGATGGATTTTAAATGTTATGTGTTTAACATTGTAGTAAGGGTGAATAATAGAGTTGCATCATCTTATTGAATTTATGAGCTGAGACATTCATTAATGCCATGCTGAGCCAAACGTGTTATATAGTATAGAGTTTTTTGTGACTGTAAAAGTGGGGTTCTATTTTTGCTATAGACCATAACTTAGCTCTAGCAAATTTGCATGTTGCATAATCTATTAGAACCTCTGCTGGTGTTTTTTCCTAATTCTTTTAAATACACTGTTACTCATTACCTAAACATTTTTTAATAACAGACATAGGTCTTTTAATGCATGGAAATGGAAAGAGAAGCAAAATTTTAAATCTACAAATAATGAACTATCGCAAGATTATACAGACTTGAGCTTCTTTTACTGATTAGAGTGATTAAAATTAAATAGATTTAACTATTGATCAATTGCTATTTTTATAATATTTTTTCAAGTTATATTTAATTTGATATTTTTGTTATCTTATTAATTAATTTATAGTGTAAAAATTTTCCTTGTATTACTATTCTAAAATTGTTTAGCTACTAAGGTAAATGTTAACCTAACTGTTTTAGAGCCCTCAAACGATTTTTATTATACAAAATAAATATGTTATTAATGGAGTCAATTTTTATTGTGTGCTATGCCATAGCATTTGGGATAGTTTTAAATACATGTATTCTTTGTAAGGGACAGGCAGAAGTCTAAAGCTGCACACAAGTAATTTTTAAGGAGTTAATTTTTTATACATTAATTTTTTGTTTCTTAAAATATTCATTGGTATGAATTTTCATGGATAATTTGCAAATACTGTAGAACTTTAATAAAAAATCATTGTTTCTGTTTTCTTAAACTTAAATTTTTATTTGATTTTTATACATTGTATTCCTCTGTACCATATTTTTAAAACTTTCACAGATTTATATGATTGTATATGAAATTTGCTATTGAAATGCATAGATTTAAATGTGTATATAATTTTTATTATTAACATATTTGTATCTCAAAATTATATATTTTTGTATAGAAGACTTAATTATTCTTAATCTTACACAATTAAGTTGATAATCACTTCTAATTTTAGTGTGCTATTGCAGATTTAATGGCAACTTGCTGCTACATGCTTTCAACCATATATGTGCTATTAGCTTTACTGGGATTTCTTTTGAGAAGGGAAAAAAATCTAGGATTTTACTTCATGCATTTGTTTTCCGACTTTTATTTTCCTCATATCTCTTCTCTTTTTCTATATTTTTCTAAAAATAATTTTTTTTAGTGCATGGCATGTATATAAAAGCTATACTTTTTGCTGTTTTAAGCAGATGTAGCCCTATAAAAGCAGTTTTCAGTTTTTCCTGAATAATTTGTAGAGTGTAGCATGTAAAGATATATTTCAAAATAAAAAATGATTTTAGAACTTTTCTTCGGAGGATGACCTTGGACTTGAGCTTGGAGGAGGAAAAGGAGAAGGCCAGAATGACAATCACCTCTACATCAGAAGCATAACCAAGGGAAGCAGAGCTGAAGGAAAATTAAAGTATGACTATTGCCGTGTCTCTTTATTTCATTCAAAGTTTTATTTAAAACTTATTCTTCAACTGCTTATATTCCACCACTTATTTAATACCTGAAAATTGAGTACAAAAACGCTCTCAGTTACCTGTTACATGACAACTTCCAGCAGTCTTTAAATGAAATTTTCAAAGCAAGTACTATATATTTTATACATTCAAGCACCACTTTGTTGTTTACAATTGACATTTTTTAATATTTTGTCTCTACTTCAACAAATTGCTTATGAAATCAAAACATAAATCAGAAAAATAAGACTTATTTTATATTATAAAATGTAAAAAAAAAATTCTTATTTTATCTCACTCATGTTTTATAAAAATAAGACTTACGATTTATCTGTAACTACTATGCTTTTGTAGTCGAAATTAGTCTTACGGTTGAGTGATAAACATTACAGTTTTTGAGAATTTCCATAATACTCTGTTTAAAATGATTTTTTCTCCCTTAACTCGAAAGAGATATAAAATTTTGCTGTTTGCAACTAGTCAACAATATTTTTTTATACTCCGTAAACAATTTTTAAAGCTATGAATTAAAAAACAAAAAAGCTTTAATTAAAAACAGGAAATTTAAAAAAAAAAAAAAAGCTAAAATATAATCTGCCCTCTTCCACCAAAAAGCTGTTTTGAAACTTAATCTTCTCTTCTTACAGAGAAGTAAAAGAACATAAATTCAAATCTGAAATGCTGTGATTTAAAATTTTTAATGGTTTGAATTCAGGTTAATAAAGGCAATAAGGGCTTAAAAATTAAGTTAGTGTTATAAATTATTACCTATAAAAACTATTTCTTGTAACGATTTATGTTTTTTGTCATTTTTTTTAATAAGTTTTTAATTTTATTATTATTATTTTTAGAATTAATGACTGCATCATGAAAATTAACAATGTTGATGTTTCCAACATGGACAGAAAAAATGCAATTGAAGCCATTAGAAACTGTAGTGGTAATGCTTTATTGGTAAGAACTATGTCTCAATTATTTTCGTAATATATTTAGTCCTATTGATACTATAAAAGATTGGTAATTAAAAAATATTTTTTTAGGTTATTAAAAGGCGGAGGTTAACCAATAGCCGTGGAGTGAGTAATGTGATATTAGGCGTGCATGGTGGTAAACATCATGGGCTTGCTATTGAAAATGGAATTTATATTAGCCGTATTACACCAGGTTCAGTTGCTGCTCGAGAAGGATCGATTGCTGTTGGAGACAGATTATTATCGGTCTGTTAATATCAATAATTTGTTATTATTGAAATAACATATGAATGTAACATACCTATGATTACATATGAATATAATATTCTTTGATATAATTTTTTTGGAGTAACTAGCAATTTTTGTTGAATATCAAGAACAAAAGATGTATTAATATGAAGTGTCTTGGGTAAATATTATTTGGAGGTGTGCTTTTATTCTAGTATGACACAAAATATTAAATTACTTTTTTAAAATTTAAAGTCATAGTTATGTAAGCAATTTTTATTTATTTAAATGGATTATAATTATTTCTTAATAAAAATATAGATTACATGGCTCCTAGTTGTCCTGATTTCCCTGATAAAATTTTTTTTGTCCTGATCTTCCTAATTTTTCTACAAATTCAGAACATCCTGTTCTCTATGAATACAAATGTAGATTTGAATATGATTGATTTAAAGAACAGGGAGATTAGTGTTTTCAATCTAAAGTCTTGTTTTAAAGTCTTATTTTAATAAATAATTAGTTTAAATCACAAAATTTTGATAATTCAAATTTAGGATACGTCCACTAATTATGTACAGAGTTTCAAGTTTATAGCATTTTGCAGGATTCAGTGTTTCAAATTTTTTACGGAATTCAATAGTATTACGAAGAAGAAAAAAATCTCAAGTAACAATTTTACATTATCAAACTTTTATGATGATAAATTCAGGGGTCATTCACTTATTACTTTAAAAATTACCAGTTCCAATCAAATATACAATATCATGATTTTTAAATCGTGAATTGAGGGATCTTACACTAAGTTACTTTAGTACAAAAATCATGAGTAACATTTTTTTTTTAGATCTTTAAATACCTACTTAAAAATTATTTGATTAAGGAAGTTTTGAACTCATTTACAAACTTATATTAAATATTGATTTGAGTAAGTTTTAACTAATTGTACTGTTTTTAAAATTCTGTTTATTTCTCAACTGTAATGAATTGTTTTTGCTGAAACTGTAATGAATTTTCTAGTGTTCTATTAATAAAAATATCCTTGAAACTGTTCTAAACAAGATAATTCTAAAATTAAAAATAGTATATTTTATTATTCTTTTGCAATAAAATTTGTATTTATTATACTCGAGTAGAGAAAATTATCCCTTTTTTTTGTTTTGAAAAAAATTTAGATTTATTATAATTTTCATTCTTTTAAAAGATATTTTGTTAATGAGAATGTGAAATTGAATCTTTCTAAATTAGAATTTTTTTTTTTAAATCTTTATATGCTAACTTCTTATATTCCTTTTTCATATATAATTTAATTGAAAATGAAATTTTAATTCATTTATTTGATTTTTAGTTTTTTTTTTTCATTTTAAGTTTTCAATTTGAAATTTAATAATCTAACTGAAATTTAAAATTTTTATAGCATTCAATGCTTGATATCCCTTTATTTATGTATTCAATCAAGCCAAAAATTCTGATTTTTCATTAAATTTTTTATTTGTTTTTTAAAATGTTTTTTGCTTTACTATCATTAATAAATGAACAGGAATATTTTACATAGCCTGAATGTCAAGAATTTTTGACATAACCTTCTTCATAGTAAAATTTTCTTTTGATTTTTATAATGATTATACTAAACACAAGCTTTTACGTCCAATATTAGGTCAATGGAAAATCTGTAGAAAGTGTCAAAACTGTAGGAGACATGCTAGACTTGGCTAATTCAACATTAACCCTCCAAGTAGCTAAATGTATACCATGCCCAAACTCACCTCCAAGTTCTGTATCAAGCTATCAAAACTCTGATATTTTAAGTGATAAAAAGAAAGGATCTACTTCAAATAGCTTTGGTTTGTATTGATTTTTTCTCATTTAAAGTTTATTGTTACGTATTTTTTTGTTGAAGGTATAAAATTTTTTAGAATTTTGTTTAGTAAGAAATTTTAGCTTCTTTTTTAGCATCAGCTGAGTATTTTATTTTTCATCATAAATCCAACATTTTATTGTTATTAAATTTTAATTAAACAGTGATTGTGCTGTATGTACAATTTTGGATTGTCGTTTTCAAGCTGCTCTAAGTAATATTTAAAATATATCTTTTCTGAAATATTACAAGGTGTTTGTGCAAGGAGTGGGTTTCTGTATACTTTAATTATTTATTAGATTTTTGGTTACTAATTTCTAGAATTTCTGTATCTCATGGAAGCACTGAATGGATTTCTGTATAATATGATTTTAGTGAGTTTCTGTTTAGATAATCTGCATATGCGCATCGATGCTTTAATTTTCTTAAACAAAGTTTTAAAATAAAAACAAAATGTTCATGCATTAATTACTTCTACTTTTTTAAAAAAAAGAAAAAAAATTTAGCTGAATATTTTATTTTTATAAAGGTAATAAATCTACAATTTGAAGGTAAATTTTTGGCCAGACTCTTAAAGTATGAAAAAAATCTATATTTCATAGTTATTACAGATTATTTAAATGGGAAAAGTCATAAAAACTGGACTTTTATCCTTGCATATAAAGCCATTTATATGAGCTCTCTTCTAATAGATTATTCATTTAGTGTTAAATTTTTTTAATTTAAATGATTTACTATTAGTTTCTTTTCCATATATCCTATAAAGTCATTAAGAGTTTTAGTTGTAGAATCCTATTCTCATTGTACGTTAAATAACTCATAATAGATTTTGAATTTTTTTTTTAGGATTTAAATTGTTTATTTTCCTACACATGAAATTTATGTTGCATTTTAATTTTAGGAAGAGACAGTATACCATCCTCACCTGAAAAAGAGGCCCTTCAAATATCACCAAAAAAGCCTACTCTATATGAGCACGAGGGTTCGAAATCTCTGAAATCAAACACTGTGCAATCAGATCATTCAAGGAAATCACCTGATTCATCACCTTTATCTCCAATCACAAGGCGACGAAAAGCTGCATCCGATGATAGGACAAGATATCCTTCCTCTCAGCCTACTTTACTTGATCGAGCTTACAATAAGATATTCGGTGAAAAGCGCACATCAAAGGATAAGAAAAACTCACCTACTACTCAGTCTCCTTTATTAGGTCATGATGAGGAAGATCCAATTGCTGAATTAGATTCAGTTCTTGAAGTTCATAGTAGAATGTTAAATAAGGGCTCCAAAGAAAGAAAACCAGATAAAAATGGTGGCACTTGGCCAAAATATAAGGGACCTTTAATTCAGTATAACGAAGTTGGAACTGTTTCTAGATGTCCTAATCGAAAGAAATCTGAAAGAAAGTCACTTGCAGCAGTTAACAAGCAGTTCAGCCTTTATGATCCTTCCATGCAATGCAATTCAAAACAATCATCAGAATCTCATCCAAATCATCTGTTAGATGATTGCAGTGACAATGAAAATAGTGGTCTCTCTGTATCTATGCAAAGTGATAGAATTTCTGTCTTTGTGGATTGCCAGCATGGCCACCAGACTTCAAATTTTTCAAAAAAATCAAGTATTCCTATAATTTCACCAAGTGCTTGCACAACTCAGACTTCTAGCTCAGGGTCTTCATATGCTTCACCAGAGATTACCAGTCCCCATAAAACAATATCTGGACAGAGCAATGAACAACTTACAGATATCAGACCACCATCATATAATGGAAATTCCAGCGCTAGTTCATTATTGGACTACTCGGTTGTTTCGGCATATCCCAATAAAGATGTTTTAGAGTTTTATAAAAACAGAAATCGATCTCGACCACGATCTGCTTTATTTGGTGTCTCAGATTCAGATTGCTTAAGTTCTCTAGAATCAAATGCATCTAGCCAGTGTAGTAAAAACATGTTGAGCTTGGGTGTAGATAGAACTTCTTTTAGTCATTCAGATGGTATACCATTATCATTTTCTTCACCCGATAGGCCTCTGAGTGCTCATTCCGCACATATGTATCCCGTAACAGTTCCTACGAGCCTCACTGCTTCTGTCATTAGTCCAAGCTTACTTCGTAGTAGTACTCCTTTTTACACTTTAAATACAGGACAACGTGGTATTACTCACTCTCATCACACTCATAATCACACCACTAGCACTCATGGTAATGCACTCGTAGTATCTCCTTTGCCTTCTGCTGCTAGGTATTCATCCCCTCCTGGTCTTTCAGTCTACACTTCAAGAAGTGGAGATTCACTGTTAAGTGTATCTGTAACAGAGTCCATGCTCGTCGATCGCTCATTTCATACACATCCAGACAGTGGACGATACTCTCTCAAAGACAGTGGTCGCCACAGCTTCTCTCCGTCTCCTTCACCATGTCCTTCTCATTATAGCTATTCAAATCCATCCCCAACACAAAGTATTGATCTACATTACCACCACAGTTCATCCTGCCAAACTCCAAAAAGAGTTGTTCCAGCTCATGCTCATGTCCACACTGTTTACAGAGACGATTCTTACAGTCCATCTGTTGCAGATGGGTTATTAACCTGCCATAAAAGAAATCAGCGCATTCGAATTCCATCAAATCCAAGTGTAACGTCTAAGTCCTCAGCTGGTAAAGTTTCCAGTAGCTCAATTGAGAAAGCCTCATCTGTATCAGAACGTAGCAGTCCTTTACCTCCGTTTACAGTTGAGTGGCTTAATCCTGACGGATCGCAAGCCTCAGTAGAGTACAGGGGAAGAACGTAAGCTCTATTTTTAATAATATCTCAGCTTTATTGAATGTTAATTTGCTAAAGATTTGAATTATTAAGTTCTTTAATATTTTTAAGTAATTGGGAATAAAATGCTATACAGAGTAAAGCATTCCACCAATAGCCTGCTGTGGACCAGGGGGATCATGGAGGATAAGGTTCCACTAATTCAAGACCAGCGGCATAATTGTGGTCAGCTCTGCTCACAGGCCGCCTTTAATTCCCAGACAAGCTGGTACTCATTGACTTGAAGTTGGGTGGTCTTCAAGCCGCCACTGGGAATCGAACCCCAAAGTAATGCCCCAGTGCCTTAACCACTGAGCCATCTTGGCTACAATATTTCATAGTTAGACTTAATTAAATTTTAAATATGCATTGGTAGTATTCTCTTTAAAAAAAATTTCTTCTGATAATTCTGTAATTTTTATGTTTTATTCCAAATTGAAAATTTTATCAATTTCTACGATTGTGATGAAAATTTCAAATATTACAGATTTTTATTACATTAATAAAATCCTATTTTTATAGTTTTACTTATGTTTAATATTTGATACTACTTAATCAAATTCCTATTATATTATGGTCACTACCATATATTTAATTGTCAATAAACTTATTGATTTATAAATCTCTGTAATTTTCATTTTTAAAATACTGGTAGGCAATCATTTATGACTTTTTTAAATATTAATTTTTTCTTACATTTACTATACATTTATTTATTATTTGCTAGTGTAACTAATGGATAACTATTAATTTTGAGTTTTGTAGCGAAGAATAAATGTAACTTGTGCAAAATTGCTTGTTAATCCCAGAGTGCAGATATATGATAGTATTTCTAGGTATCCCTAGGAGCTGTTTTAGAATTTTTTTTTTAAGAAAACATACTTTGATGAAAATGATTCAATTTTCTTATTGTTTTTAAGCCTTGATCTCACATATAATATTTGTATTGGCAAATGTTAATTTTAAAGTACTTGAATCAATTATAGTGTTAAAAAACTTATGTAATTTTATGTTAGTATAAAATATGATGCAATCAGCTTTAGAAAAATTCTAATTTTATTTTCCAGGCCTAAACCTGGCGACACTCGTAGTATCTGCATTGAGAAAAGTACTGAACCTTTGGGTATTCAGATTAGCTGTGGTGAAGACAAAGCTGGGATTTTTGTATCATCTGTGACCAAGAACAGCTTAGCTGATCAAGCAGGCCTTCAAATTGGTGATCATCTTTTAGAGGTAAGTCGCAAAGTTTGTTAGTAATTTAAACTTACCTGTAGTCTACTACATCTCTACATTTTGAATACGAAGTTTATTTTTTAATATTTATATTTTTACTTATTTGTGTGTATTATTTTTTTATATTTATAATTTGTTAGATAATCTGTATGAACTCTGTATACTAATAAGTGGTAGGACACCTATGCATATCGGAGCAGAGTTAGAATTATTGTCCGTTGGTGTTTCAGCTTTTTAGTCTATGACCCTTGGTCCGATTGGTAGTAAGCTCACACCTACTGCACTATTTTGGATGATCGTGTATGACTCAGGGTTCGTTGATTTAAATCAGCTTGATTTAAATCAAGATTTAAATCATGATTTAAATCAAATGATTTTTTTTAAAAAATCATTGATTTAAATCAACTAATTTTTTTTATCTATATATATTGATTTCAAAAGTTAAAAAATATTGTCTTACATTTTTGATACTTTTATTATTTTCTTTTCTTAGTATTAAAATTTAATTTAAATAAATTGCTGCATTAATTAATTTTAGTTAACGAAATGACTTTCTTGGTGTGTGTTAAATTCCAACACATTTGAAATTACATTTTTACAAATTTTTTGATTCTTGAGATTGAAAGTACAGATTAAAGTAAACATTTAATGCTGTCTTAATATAGACTTGCATAGCTGTAGAAAATAATTAATAAGCCTGAATTTTTTTCAAAAAATAATACAAATAATGTTAATTAAAATTCTACCTTTTGAATGAAAAAGCGTGAATTAAAATCTACGTCATATTTTATTGGTGGAAAATGTATATTTCTGAAGCTTGAGGTTATATTAAAAAGAAATTACCCTAATAAGCCAAAAACAGAAAAAGAAAAAAAAAGGGCTGATGAATTCAGATGTTTTTTTCCTAATATAGTGTCATTCGTCCTTTTCAAACTCTTTCAAAGTCTATTTGATGCAGTAGAGTTATTAACTGGTATTTTTTTCTCATAATATACTTACAATATCTTTGACATTATCTGATTTTCTATTAAGAAATTTTGTGAAAAAAAATTCCAATGAGTACATAGATTTTCTAATTTTTCTTTTAGCTTAACTTATCTATTTTGATATAGAATTAAAAATGAACATATTAATATACAAATATATAGATTAAATATTTATTTATTTTTTGATGAATGACTGCATTTATAAACACAGTCTGCAACACTTATTTTGTCATTTTAAAAATCAAGAGAAAAAAAAAGAATTCACAATTTTAAATTAAAGTTATGGTTTGCTAACTGAAACTTTATTTTAATAGTTAAAGTACAGGGGTCTTACAAATTTACTACCGTTTAACGGTACCTTTACAAATTAAACTTTAGGAAAAATGATAGAATAATCACACAAAATACTTTTTCTTAAAATTTTATTTTTGTGTCTCGTAAGAAACGATAAATCCATATTTTTACTATATTTGTATTGATTTTTTAATATAATTTTTAATTTTCACAAAAGAGGTACCTCTCAGAAAAACCCAGACAGACCCCTGAAGTATTCTTTAAATTTTCTATTTCATCTAGTCCTTAAATTTTAATCATGCATTTGTCTCAAAATGCATTCAAAGCCATGTATTATAATGAAAAATTATTTTAGTTAGAGCTTCTAAAACATTGTTACAATATAGTTTTAATATTAAGTTAATTTGATTAAACATTTATGATTTTTTTTAAATCATAAATTAAAGTTCTTACAGTGTATTTGAATAAAAAAAAACATCTGATTTAAATAAAAAAAAATCTGAATCTTTTGATTTTTTTAAAAAAATCAAAAAAATCACGAACCCTGGTTTGACTACATTGTGGGAATTTTACTTTTTGAACTCGCATATGTGGGGGCGGCAACCTTAATTGTAATTTTGTGGGGTTTATCAGGAAATAGTAAGATTAAAATAAATTATAATAAATAGTAAGATTAAAATAGAGTTAACTCAAGATATTGGCCTGCCCAAATTTGCACTTTATGGAGAACCTTTGATTTCCAAACTAAAGGATTTAAAATATTTATTGGTAGTTAGTGACTGTTTTTCACTCCTTTCCAAATTGAACCAGAGTTTTTCCATGGGGTTGAATGCAAGCCAGTTCATTCAACTAAGCCCATTGCTACCAGTCTATGGTGGACATTACAAAAGGGCAGCTAGTATTGTTCTTTTGAAAGTTGTGTAAATTCAAACTGCAAATCTGGTTCATCTTGGTGTACTGTTATTCAAAATATTGTACTAGCCATCAAACTTACTGTAAGTTCCATCTCCATTCGAAAAGAAACACACAAATCCAGTCAAATAATTCAGAATTAAAATTCTCTTGCGTTTATATTTTCAAAATTCTGTGCAAATTAGTTCATATTTGTTTTAAAATGTCATGTTTGAAATCATAAAATACTTTAAATTGTCTTTTTAATTTATAGATTTAAAAAAAAATAATGTTTTTCTTTAAAAAGTTTCTAATAGAACACAAACTTTCTAGATCATGTTGAATATTGATATATGTATCTCAATTTTATTAAGTTAAATAGCTATTAATTTTAGCAAAATACTATTAATGTGGTAATTTTTTTTCAGGTTTGTGGCATTAATATGCGCAGTGCAACATATGGGCTTGCTGCAAATGTTCTTCGACAGTGTATGGATAGTATAACTATGTTAGTGCAATACAACCCAGAAAGTAAGTATCTTAAGTGCGGATTAATAAAATAATAAATCATTTTGACATTATTGTTTGAGTTTTAAATTTTTCATATCACTGAAAATAATGCTTTCTCATATGATAACCAGTTAGAGACCAAAATCATGAACAGCGAAACTGATTAATGAAACCTAAAAGTTAGTTAGCTTCCAGAGTAACATTTAACATGCAAATCTTAAAATTTAACTTATAAACCTTAAATCTCTGCACTTTTTCGTGCATGTTTTTTTTTAAATTTTTGTAGAAAAGGAGTGTTGATAGATAAGCAGTAGCAAAGATGGGCCAGGGAGAACAGGGAAAACCTGGAATTGTCAGAGAATTTTATTCTAACTCCAAAAAGCAGGACAAAGTTGCAATTTTTTATAAAAAACATGAAACTTCCTCTATCATACCTGGAAAATAACTAGTCCTAGAGTTGTCAGTAACAGTAATAATTCTAACATCTACTACAATTATTTTTAAAAATTCCACTTCTTAGTTAATTTTTCCTTCCTTATTCTAATGTATGTTTTTGCTCACAAAATCTAATATTTGGCATTACAAATAAAATAAAATAAAGAATCAAAGTTTTCTAATGAAAAAATGCATGGTATAGATAAAATCTGATACAGATTTTCATTGAAATTTATCTGATATACCTGAAAAAGTCAGGGAATTTTTTTTTCCAAAGTTAAGTGGGAACCCTGAATAGTTATTTAATTTTTTTCTGAATGATGTAGCCAGTGAATGTGTCAACTGTGAATTTTAATGGCGAAAAGTTTAGCAAATTTTGCCATGTAACACTCCTATTTATTTGTAACTTGTTTTAAAAATACCTGCTTATGATCGATGCATTCTGTTCCATGTTTTAAAGAAATATGAAATTCATGAGAAATATTTACGAACTTCTTTTTTATTGTAAGAATACAAAGAAGTGGTGCCTGAAAACGAATATTCTAGTGATGCTATATCTCCTTGTGAAACTCCTGTTCTACATCACAAGCTAAGTCATTCTAAATCCATTGATGTATCCAATGAAGACGTACCCAGCACACCTAGTTCTGCTGCCTCAACTTTAACAAAAAAGAAAGCTCATAGGTAATGGTGATTTTTGAAAGTTTGACCTAATTAATTGCAATGCATTTTTGTGATTTGAACTGTTTTATGACCCCTTCTCAAAAGTTAAATTTCTAAAAATAGTCCCTTCACCAAAACCAAATTTCTTTTCGAAAAAGAATAAAAATCAAATTCACAAAAAAGAAATTTGAAATTTTAAAAAACTGCCCTTTTTTTCTACAAAATTTTATTTTATCAGAATGATACTTTAATAAAAAATTTCCATGTCTAATTCTCCAAACTTTATAACAAGGTTGGACATGACTGCAGACGCCTGGTGGCTGAGTGATAGCGCTTCACGCTCACCAGCTGCAGGTCCTGGTTTTGATCCTTGGGCCGGGCAAGGTTGACTCAGTCTTTCATCCCTTTAGTGGGTCGATAAATGAGTACGAAGCATGCTTGGGAACTGAACACTAGGGTTCGGCGTTCGGCTGACCACCTAACCAGAACATTTGCTTCTGCACCCCAGAGCCCAAGGTCAAGAAAACTGAGATGAGCACTGTAGGCCTTGGCCCTCTATGGGCTGTCGTGCCACTGAGTTTAATTTAGTTTAGGACATGACGGCAAACTAATTTTGTTATCATCTCTTAGGGATTAAAATCACCTCAGGGCTGTCTATTACTAATGTCGATTTAAGACAAGTGGTAGTAAAATTACCTAACATTTTGCAATCTGGTTAAGAAAATTTACTTTTATTAAATTACAAGAAAATAATTATTTAGTTTTTTTAAAAAAAATATTTGTATTTAAAATTTGACATGGGCTGCAATTGTGGCACAACTGAAAAAACATGTAATTTGAACTAAGAACAGGTGTAAATAGGAAAATGCACATTCTTTTCAGCAGCAATACTCAACAACTCATAATTTAACTTGAATGTAATCTTCGTTTAAGCAAACTAAAGCATTTCTTATCCATTTTCCTTAGCACGGAAATCTTTAAACCCACTTATCTCAAAACATGATTTTTTGAGCTGTGCTGCCCTTGAGCAATGTGATAATTATTTGGTGGTAGGGTCGATGAAATGAAACTCAAGTACTGTTTTTTTTAATGAGCTATTTCAAAAAATAAGAAATGCTATTTTTTTTTTTTAAATTCTGACTTGTTATGAAAATTTCTGTTTTAATTAACTGTAAAACATAGTGTCTATGTAATTTGAATATTTTATTTGATAAAAAGATATTAGTAATATTTTTATTTTTCTGAAAACTGGGTACCAAAAAATTAAACTTGGATTAACCTCTAAATTCTAGTAACCTCAATTAGTTTTTTAAGTCATATTTATTGCTTAAGACAAATTTATTTGTGGTTGTGGTAACCAATAGCATGCCTATATTTAATGTAACTATGTTAGATCAACTATGTTTAAATTATTGTTACAGTATAAAAACACAAAATATTACAAATAGAATTAATAAAATTTTATCTGCTGGAAATGAAATTTTTGTATTAAACTAATATTTTGGGAGACTTAAATTTTAGCAGCATGGATGATCACCCAGTTCATGACCTCTAGTCATGAGAGGAGGTAGTCCTCTAGGCTTACTTCTTTTATATTGAATATTTTACAATTTTTGAAAAACTAAAAACATGTGAAAATAAAGTTATAACCTTTAAAAGGAAATAACCTAGTTTCTTTAATATATAAGCTACTGTTGTGGCGACAGAGTTATTTTTATAGTTTTAAGGTTTATATAATATTTTCACAATAAAATTTAATGTGTTTCTTTTCAAGCTTAAGCTCTGGTAACAGAATGAAGAATTCAAAAACATCCATTACTGAACCTAGACTTGTGATTCTTAAAAAATCAACATCTAATTTGGGAATTAGTCTGTTAGGTGGTAATGCTGTAGGTATCTTCATTCATGCTGTGCAAGAAGATTCTCCAGCCCAAGGTCCCAATGGTTTACGTACTGGAGATCAAATTCTAGAGGTAATATTTTTTTAATCTTTTCACAGCAATAATATTCATCTAGCATATTTTTTATTTTATGTAATGTTATCTACATTAAAGTAACATTTGAAAACAAAATGATTTTTTTATATGCTTTCTTGCCTGTACAGTAGGATTAAGCAATGCAAGAAATTTTATTTTGTGATATCTTGTCAGTTATAGACATCACAATAAAACATATGTTCAAGTATTATTTCTTTTGAATCACAACTACACAATCAGAAATCTTAAATCAATCCAAAATAAATATATCTGTGGCAAAAGAAAATGTTAATTTAAAAAAAAATGCTAACACCAATAACTTTACTTAATTTTTTCATTTAAAATAATGAAGTTGGATTGTCTTAAGACCAATTTCTAAAAGTAAAAAAACAAATGCAAGCTTTGTTTTAATCTTTTTTTAAAAAAAATACTACTAAAGATTTATTTGTTTGAAAATAGTAATAAAATTCTATCAAAATATTTTACTTGCATCTATTGTACAGAATTGTTTAAAATTTTAAAAAGAAATATGGGTAAAAGCAAATGAAATTAATTGTATACTAAAGTAAAACAAAGTTTTAAATTATTTATTGAAGAAGAAATGCATATATATATAAATTCAATGTGCGACCAATAAAGTGAAAAAAGTTTCCTTTTGTAAATTTTCTTTATGCGCCAGAAAAGAGATTTTTAAGTAGATCTATTTTTCTATTATCTTAAAATAAAGCTGACCTTAAATAATAAGTTTTTTGGTTATAAATTTATGTGTATTTGTGTATAGTATCTATTCACTTGGCTTAATGAGAATAGTACTCCATAATAAATGTCCATGCTTTTTCATGTATGCATGCTTATTTTTATTTATTTTTAGTATAATGGAATTGATTTACGACATGCAACTGCAGAGGAAGCAGCATATGAACTTGCTAAGCCAGCAGATACTGTAAAAATATTAGCTCTCCATAATTATGAAAGTATGTCTGTTTCTCTTTGTTTTGATTTTTTTATATGACTTTACAAGCTAATATTTTTTTTCCATCTTAATTTTTTCGCTTTTGATTTGAAGATTGGCTTAATCTATTTTTTGGAAATTTGTTAAAATGTATTGTACCTTAGCATAAATTTTTAAAAATGAGTTCATGACTATTTCAAGATTTTTTCTATTGCCAAAAATGAAAAAAATTGATGTTAACAGACAAGTTTTTCTATACTCGTATGGTTGTGGTTAGTATGGTTATGAAGATAATTTACTTTAAAGAGATGTCTGAATTTAGTTGTTTTGAATGGCAATGACAATAAAAGGTAAAATTAAGATTTAAAATGTGATTAATGAATCTTAAAAGCAGTTCAACAAAACAAACTGATTAATGTATTTAGGTTTTGTGCACTTTCTGTCTTGCACCTTATTGTCATTTCCTTGATGCTTACCTTTTTGAAACAGGTTCACTGCTGTTTACATGCTAGCTTATTTTTAGATTGAAGGAATTTTTGTTATAGCAAGATAGTACCTTATTTTATGGCTGTTATATTTTTAAAAACGGCAAAAGCTTTAATTGGGAAAGAAAGTTAAATTAATTTTTAAAAATAAAAGGTTGTTCTTGTAAGAAGTTTAATAAAGACAATAATAAGTTTAATGAGGTTAAGAAGTTTAATAAAGACAATAAAAATACAATGTTTTCAAATAATATGTGTAAATTGAATAGTTTTTTTTTAAAAAAATATGTAAAATATTAATATTTTTTAAAAAAATTGAAAAATTTTAGTTTAAAGAAAAAGTGAATTATTTTGTTCATGTTTCTTTAAATTTTTTTATTTCTGTTATTTAATCATTTAAAATTTTTTATATTTAGGATATCAAGAAATCCAAGATCAGCCTGGAGACTCATTTTACATCAGGTCAACGTTTGACCGATTAAGCATTAATGGATCATTGGCATTCCAAAAAGATGATATCCTGTACGTTGATAATACAATGTACAATGGTGTACCTGGCCTGTGGCAAGCTTGGCTTGTGGATGAGGAGGGAGAAAAAATAAAATGTGGTTTCATACCTAGCAAATATAAGTAAGATAATTGTTAGAAGAACCTCCAAATTATTTGTTACTTATTTTAAGCTGAAATAACCTATTTGAAACTGATTGATATTTTCATTATTTTTCATGTATTTATTTGTTCACGATCATGAAGTTACTTTGTTGTTTTCATTACAGTTTTTTTTCTTAACTTTTTTTCATAGCTTTGCTTTTGAAATGAACTTTTTAGATTTAAACTTTCATAAACGGAACTTCTAATACAGTTTTACAATTATTTAAAGAATTTAGAACTTATCAAAAAATTTATTATATTCAAAAACATTTCAAGAACAAATAGTAAAATTAATTCTAAATAATAATATAAACTGCATAAAAGTACAGTAGAGAACCGATCATCCGGAACGATCGGGACCATTGCGATTCCGAATAACTGAATTTTCCGTTTTTCTGAATCGCTACAAAATGCCGTTTTTTTTTTAATGTTTATTAAACGAAACTAAAAAATTTTTTTGAAATAGTTTTAGAAATAATAAATAATAATACACTTAAGTTTAAATAAGGAAAGAAATTATGAAATGAAAACTATATACAGGCTTATATATGTTATTAATGTTATTATTAACATTAATAACATATATAAGCTATTTGTGCTTATGTGAGATTCGTCTACAAACGACTTTTGATGTGTCCTCTAAATCAGTTCTTTCCTCAACTCGATATGCCGTACACTCTAAATAACAAAATGGGCTCAAAATCTTGCAGGGAAAAAATTTTTTTTTAATGGAAGAAAATTAAATTCCGGTTCTGAATTTCATTCCGATTATCTGGTTTTACGGTTTTCTGATTTCCGGATAAGAGGTTCTGCACTGAATTAACTTAAAGTACTTAAATATTTTATCTGATCATAAACTTTTGGGTACATCAATTAAAGGTATTGAGGCATTGGTTATGCATAAATAATTTAGGTAAATTAGTTTTAGCATTTATTTTCTTTGTTAATGTTTAGTATTTAAGTTAAGTTGAATTATTTATAATATTTTATCAATTTATGTATAATATTTTATAGCAACATAAACAAGTATATCAATATTATAATACACAATTATGATTTAAAAAAATAGTTTTAGCTTACCTGTTAAAAATGTTTTACCATTAACATGTTGACTGCCACTTGCATTTACAGTGAAATCTCCTTCAGGCCACGAGTACTGCTGTACGAAGCTTATTCTAAGTACTCCCACCTATATTTTAACAATGCGATTTTGGTGGTTACGATAATAATATCCCTCTCCGTTTGTTTCCATGGTATTATGTCTGGTTATTTGTGTCCGTTGCTTCACATCTGTTTCTCATCTTGACACATTCAGTTTGAATCTTTGCCAAGTGAAGAGGAGTATAACTTAAAATCTTTACCTTAATTCGTTGAAATTTCGAAAAGAAAAATGGAAAACTTTTTTCTTAGTAAGTCGAGTAGCAGTGAACAAGAAAGCTTCTACGAGGCTCATAATAATTTTCTTAAGTCATTTTTGTATTATTTTATAACATTTCAATAGCTTTGTTACTTCCTGGGAAATATCCTTTTAAATACATATGAATATCCTTCGCAAGTTGTCAAGTAAGCGTCACCCCGGTACCGGTGACACTACCCAATCAGAAATTGCTGTCATCCGAATATGGGTGACGCGGCAGTCAACGTGTTAAGGGACTTTTAAATGACAAATTTTTAAGTGGGGATTATGGTTTTTAGAAAAAATAAAATTATTTTCCATATTTATAGGGCAGAGGAAGAATTAATGATGAAAAGAAGTTTAGGTGACTTGGATGGTACTGATGGTGGAAGAAGAGGTTCAACTGCTGCTAGACGAAGTTTCTTTCGAAGGAAACGTCACCATCGTAGCAATTCAAGGGATAGCAAAGAACTTGCCTCTTTCTCTGATGTATCTATCAACAGTTGCAGTGACTCTGGTATCTTAGGGGAAGAATTAGTACCACTAACTTACCAAAGGGTGGAAAAACAACACTGTAAGTTTTGTGATTTACTCATTCATTTTCAGCTTTTTAAAAAAAATATTTATACATGGTGCGCAGCGTATTTAAAAAGTGCATAAAGGTGCTTATTTTCGTTATTTAAAAGCCCTTAAAGGTGCTTTTGTCTTTGGGTGTTTTTAAAAAGTACTTCATTTTTCCTTTCGGAAAATTATACTTTCTTTCTTTACCATGTCGATTTTCGCCACGTATTATGCAAAAGCATGCTTTTCACATTGTTTTATTCAGCGTTTTCACAATTCATTAAACTACAATTCATTTCGGCGTACCGTCGGTCCATAGTTTCTGAAAACGCAAATCATTTTACAGGTTTAATGAAATACTTTTGAATCCGTATGTGCGTCTACTGAGCTGGGTTCGATAAGATTATTGCACTCTCATGTGCAACTCTGTTGCATTTTGCAAGATATTCTCAATTTCAGGCCCAGTTNTTTCCACCCTCTGTTATTGAACTGAAAAATCCTGATCATTTTATAATGGCTAATATGATCAAGAAAAGAGGTCTTTGTCAGAAACTAGTTGTTTTATCATGATCATGTAAAGTCTTTGAAAATTATTTTGAATTTTGTTAATGTATATAGTGCTTAAAAATATTTTTGGAGCGTTTAAAAAGTACTTAAAAGGTGCTTATTTTTTGTTGAAAGATTTGGCTACACACCCTGTTTATAGATTTTATTTTTTTATGAAAACAAAAAGTTACACTTCTTTTTTTTTGTTGCATGTATTTGATTTTCTCAAATATCTTTTATATTACATCGGCAAAAGCATTTGTCATTGAAAAATTTAATGATAATATACAGCTCATTCTGTAATTTATAACTCTAGTTTTTGAACTTAAATCAGTTAAGAAAAAAATCACCAGTTTTCCAAAAGGGCTATTTTAGATTCTTATTAAATATAAATGCTAACTATCCTTCACTTAGTTCCATGGGATGAGTTGCAATTTCATAAAATATGTATCACCTAATTTTCTTTTGGCTTATTATGGTTCAATAGTTTGTGATCAAAAAGAAGCTGCAGTAGAATATTGATTATTTGAAGCAATTAAGTACAAATCTGCTGCAGATAATCATAATCTTTTGATTTTAGACATTCATTATTCCATTAATCTACTTCATTAATAGTCAATAAATCCTAAAATTCAAGCGAACATGTACTTCATAATAAATTTTCTTTCAGTAGAAGTGATAGCCACATGATAGAACAACATTTTTAAATTCAAGTGAAGTGATAATGTAAAATTAATATAACAATGCAATAATTAATATAATACTGCGTACTGTTTTTAAAAAGTGCTTAAAGGTGCCTATTTTTGATTTACGTTTTCTAAAAGCCCTTAATCGTGCTTTTTTTATTCGGGGTTTCTAAAAAGTGCTTAATTTACTGTCTTTTTAAAAAAGAGATTTTTTCTTTGCCATGTCGATTGTCTTTCTAAATTACAGAAAATGCATGATTTTCACAATTTTATCTGCAATATTTATGAGAAACTAGTTACTCTATCATGATTATGTAAATTAAGAACTTTAAATGATAGAAAAAGAATTTTTTTTTTACTACACAGATCCTAATTATGAATTTTTTTTTGGAAAGTGATTAAAAGTATTTTTTGAATGCTTAAAAAGTACTTAAAAGGTACTTATATTTTGTTAAAAAATCTGGCTACACACCCTGTAATATACTCATTTTCAATACCAAAGAGAAAATAATAGTATATTTTTTTCCCCCAAAATTAAAAAGAGTTAATTTTTATGTGAAGCAAATTATTATTTTGCAAAGAACATTAGTTATGGTAACAAAATCCGATATCTCTTTTTTTAATACTACTGTGGTTTTATTTTTTTCAAAGAACAAGTTTCTATCTTATTTTGCATGGCTAAATTAAGTTATCAAAGTCTTGTATGAATTATGACTGTGTATGAGTTCAACTGACTCATTAACTTGCTTTTTCATTTAATTTAGATTTGTCATTACGTCCAGTTATTATTGTGGGGCCTTTGATGGAAGCTGTTGTCGATCAGCTTGAGCAAGATTTTCCTCATGTTTTCCAACGCTGCATTCCAGAGAAAATGAAGGGCTCTCTGTCTATGATGGAAAGAGGACTTCAAGAACTCAAATTTGTGGATTTCAGGAGACGAGGCAACCATTTTGAGTGTACAACTGTGGCAGCTATAAAACAACTCTGTGATAAAGTATGAAAATATTACTTCTTTTCCCTGAAAATAAGTAAATCACTATGTTTTAAATAGAAGTCTGTTTTATCCCAGCTCACCAATTTTGATTTGATGCATGCAAAACAAAATTCAGAAGAGTATATGTCTTTTATTTATTTTTGTGGTGCAGATTTTAGGTCTATATGTATATATATGTATATACATATGCAGTGAAACCTCTACGGAAGCCCGTCTTTATGTAGCAACCTCCTCTATTTATAGCCACTTTTGAAAGGAACACAAATTTTTCCATAGACTTAGTGTTGAAGAAAATCTTTAGGAGAGACCATTAAAACCTCTCCCAGCGAGCAAATGAACCTTTGCACCAAATGCAGGAAAAGTCAAATAAGGAAATATCAAAACAAAAAATATTAACAGAACTAAAATATATATTCAAAACATTTGTGTGAGACTTTCAGTTTGAGAGCTCTTTTATACGATCTCTGAAAGAGAACCACAGCTTCACGTTGCAGGCAGTGATGACGATGCTATTGAGGATTTATTTTTGGAGTTAGAAAATTATTAAATTAGAAAAAAACATATTTAAAAAAGAACTAAGCATTTCAAGGAAGCAAACCGTTTTTCATCTTTCAAAGCTAACTAATTTTTGATATAGAATTAAATGCAAGCTTAAAAGAAAACATAATTATTTATTTTATGAAAATGGTTCTCTATCATTCATAATTTTATATTATAACCGTCATTGAACAGCCGATCAAAATTTTGAGTTGATGTGTTCATCTCCGTAGCCGTGTAATTTTGAACCCAATCCAGAAGACAAGGGAACTCCTGGATCAAGCATTTAGAGAAATTTGCCTTAGTGAAGTATTTTTTTTGTTGTTGATGGAACTAGCCCACATTTGTGTTACATGGCTAGGAAAAGCACCCAGGGTTAGCCTGGCATCAAGGGGACTCTTATCCATGATTCATCTACTACTGAGGATATTTTAGTCCACTGCCTTTACCTCTCAATGAGGTGAAAGCTACCACGGCTCAACATTCATAATTGATAAATTTATTTTCACAAAATTATATCATCATATATTATATTAATAGGTAATATATCAATAGGTTCACTTAATTTTATTTTATTAAAACTGAATTTTATTAATTATATTGTTTTCATGACTCCAACACAAGAAGCATTTCCGCACCAAGTAAATGACTTTGACTAAAATTAAAACCTTTTGCGAAAAATTATGTACCTTTGATAACTTTTGCTGGTCAATGGAGATTACCCTTAAGAATGACCATTTTACTGTGGAGCAAGGAGTGGTCACCCCCTGAGAGGTTTCACTGTATATTTTTATATATTAATATGTTATAAAACTTTAAAGAAAATAACAAAAATCACTGACTGAAAATTCGTTTTATTTTAAAATCTTGATAAAAATTTTGTATCTTCACTAAAGGAACAAAACAAGACTACAGTTCCTATAATCTCATGAAATTTAGTCATTTTAAGATATTTAATGTTTATGAATTTTAATTTTTTAAAATAATTCTGAGGTTCAAATAATATTTTGGATTGCTTATACATATACAAGATTTTTTAGTTTCATCAAAGTGCATGAAAGTATTTTAACTAATTCATTGAGAAAAAATAATTCCTTTAATGACTTCTTATTTTAGAAATGTCATGCCCTCTTGGATTGTAGTCTTTCAGCTGTAGAGCGTTTAAACCAGAGCATGATTTATCCAATAGTCATTTTTTTAAAATACAAATCTACTAAGCAAATCAGGTTAGTAAATATTTCTTCTCATTTTAATGTCTATTGTTTAAATCTTTAAATGATTATGTTGAAATATTTTGTTTTATGATCACTTTAGAGAAGCTAAAGATTCAAGATATTTAACTGAAAAGGTTACGACAAAAGCAGCTAAAGAGATGTTTGAACATGCACTAAAAATTGAGAGTGAATACAAGCAACTGATAAATGGTAAAATCATTCATTTCTTGAGTTTTCTATTTTTATATTTTTCTTAATGTTTATTCTAAGAAATAATGAATTTAAAATAAAAACAGATAAAATTACTTCATGTTTTATTTTACTTTTTTTATTTTATTCTTTAAGTACTGGGTTGTTAATTCAATTGGAAATACATTCGGACTTCTATTTAACAAACTTCCATTTTGTGAATTCCTTTATTTTGGGATTTTTTTTTCGAGGTACCAAGAACATTTTTGGAACTTTCTTCGTAAATCAACTTTCAAATAGCGAAGTGAATTTTCTATTTAACGAACTTTTCTTTGAGATCCACTTCCCCCATTTTCCAAAATATTTCAGAACATTTCAAACTTGTTACCGCATTTTATGTAAGAAATTGATTTTCAAAGCCACTTATAGAGAAAGCAGTAAAATCCCTTTCCCTTTTTGTTTGCATTTCAAATGAAAACCTCTGGTAAAATTAACGGATTTTATCAGTGGCATTTAAACTTAATAACGCATGAGGTAATATATGTTTAAAATAACTTTTATAAAAAATGCAGCTATAATTTTATACATAAATTCAGCTTTTTGTTAGTTCTAAATCAATAAAGTATGTAGTGTAACGCTGGATAATGTTTTGCTCTACTGTTGCTTTACATGCAAATTTCCTTTATAATAAAAAGTAGATGCAGTAAGAAACCGATTATCCGGTACGATCGGGACCATCGCTATTCGGGATAACTGATTTTTACGGTTTTCTGAATCGCTACAAGAAGCCGTTTTTTTTTGTTGTTAAACCCAACTAAAAAAAATAAAAATATTGGGAAATAATCTTAAAAACAGGGATGAGATTCTTCCGGGGATTCGCGGATTTCCGCTTTTTCTCAGATTTTTCCATTTTTCCCGCTAATTTCCGCTGAAATTTTTTTTGCACAAGTTAAAATATTTTATGAGGAATTTAATTTTCCGCGGAGCGAAATTATTGAAGTCCTCATTCCTCCCTCTGAAGTTTCTCTAAAAATCATTTCCTTGGGATAAAACTGGTTGACCTTTATACAGGGATGAGATTTTTTTCGCTTTTGTCTCTCGAATTTCAGCCTTTTTATCAAAAACTCAGATTCTCTAAAAGTTTTTTTTTTTTTATTTATTTATTTATAAATATCCCGTTTTTTTTTTTAAAAAAAATTCAGTCGTTGAAGTCAAATTATTATATTTATTTACGATTTTCAAAGAAAAACAGAAAATTCAAACTACGTCCTAGCTGCTAATCCTTCCGCATGTTTACTTATATTAGCTATTTTCTCCAATTTCACGCACAGAAAATAAGATTTTCCGTATTTTTTATCTGTCGGCGGGATAGCTCGTATTTTCGTAATTTAGACGTCGCTACTTCTTGTATTCTAAAGAGATAGCAAACAAAAAAAAGCAAAAAGAATAGAGGTGGATTTGTGGTGAAAATATTTATTTGCTCATTCAATTAATCTTGTAAATTTTTATTTATTGTGTAAACAAAAAACAATTCAAACAAGCCTTTTAGAAATCCCAAGTCCAGACTGCAAATATCTTGATTTTAATATCAATCATCGATTTTCGTATTTACCTGATTTAAAAGTTGCGCATTGCAATTCTTATTTACGCTTTTTAAATATCGTACATTATGACTCGTATTTACGAGATTTAAAAATTTAATATCGTGTTTTGTATTTTTGCATTTTTAAAATCGTGATTTTATTATCAAACATCGATTTTCGTATTTACCTGATTTAAAAGTTTAACGTTGCGATTCTTATTCAGGCCATTTAAATATTGTACATTGCGATTCTTATTTACGAGATTTAAAAAACTAATATCGCGATTTGTATTTACGAGCTTTTAAAACCCTATATGTAGCCTACGCGAGCTTAAAATCCAATGTCGTGATTCGTTTTTGCGGTTGTAATATCGCGCGATTTTAAAATTATGCATCTTGATCTAAAAATTACGCATCATGATTTGTATTTTCGCATTTTTTAAGTTCCATGTAGAGTTTCATATTCACGTGATTTAAAAGCCTCATATCGGGATTTATAATCACATAGATTACAAGTTTAAACAAAAAATTGACAAAAAAAGTGTGATTTATATATATATATATATATTCTTGGATTTCCTCTTTTTTACTCTGACTACTCTCATCCCTGTAAAAAGAAGAAAAAACGATTAAGTAATACACTAATGATTATTTCCAAAATGATGGTAAGGTAAACATCTTTCAAAAAAAAAAAGAAAAATCCTAAAATTTTATGAGGAAAAAAAAATTGTTTTAAAAATTGTGGGATAATTTATTGATTTTCGCTCCGGTTTTCTGGATAACGGGTCCTGTACTGTACTAGTTTACAAGATAAAGGTGTATCAATTGCTGTTTTAATTATGTCTAGGATTTATGAATTTAAAACCTGTTTTATGTTTAAGTATTTTAAAGGGTGATTTTCTATTAAATGAATTTTCCATATAACGAACTTATTATTGTGATTTAGCGACTTCCTTAAATAGAGGTCCGACTGTAATTCAATTCAGGGTTGACAAAATTCATGTTTTTTTTTCGTATTTTTTATTATTAACTAGTCAAATAAAATGTGCTCAAAGTATTTAATATTATTTAAAAACATTAATACATCTAAATAATTTGTATTTCTAAATAATGTTTGAAAAATTATTATTTAATTATTACAAACTAATCTCTGAATAAATAAAATTATTGTTATTTTTGTTAAAGCTAAATATCCAAAAATTTTAAAAAGACTGGGAAGCACTTTGCCAGTTAGATATCCAATGAAGATTAAATTAGTTTAGATCTGAAAACATTAAAGAAAAAATCTATTGCAAGTTTCTCTGAGCAGAACAATCCTTTTTTCAATATTGGTAAACACTAACTGCAATTTAATGTTTTAAAAGCTCTTAAAGCATTCAAATTAACATAAAACTAAATGGGTATAATTGAAATATGTCTATTATTTGCAGATTACTTTATATGCAGCTGATAGATAAATCATAATTTAACAGATTAACATTATTTTGTTCACTTTTAGTCTTTTAATTTTATTTATTTATTAAATCTATTTTGAAATATAATAAATTACCCTTTTATTATTTCTTTGGATATAACCTTCCTTATCAGTGAAATCAGGCTTTTAAAAGAATCACATAATAAAAAATATATTTATAAAAGTATTTTCAACTTAATGATATATTTAAAAAAAAATCAGTTGGGTTTTTCATCAATGATTTTCTTTAAAAAAATCACAGTTAATTTAAATCATTGATTTTTTTAAAAAATAAATCAAGTGATTTAAACCATGCCAACCCTTATCTGAACAATTTTGCTAATTTTGATGGTAATAAAGGGTCATTACAGTGATCAATCTTTTGGAGCATATCTATTGGGGATTTTAAAAAGTGCTTATTTTTGTTTTTTAAAAGCCCTTCAAGGTGCTTCTTCTATTGGGTATTTTTAAAAATTAATTACCCCTTTTTGAAATTGTGATTTTTTTTTCTTCTTTACCATGTCAATTTTCGCCACATATTATGCAACAGTGTAGTTTTCGCATTGTTCTATTCAGCCTTTTCACAATCCATTCAAACACAATGCATTTTGGCATACCGTCAGTCCATAGCTTATGAAGGCATCAACCATTTTACAAGTTTGACGAAATACTTGCCGGTCCGCACGTGCGTATACTGAGCTGGGTTGGGTGAGATTCTTGCACTCTCATGTGCAACTCTGCTGCATTTTGCAGGATATTCTCAATTTCAGGCCTCATTTCCCCTCCCTCTGAAATCGAACCTAAAAATCTCTCAATCTTTTTATGATGGATAATATAATTAAGAAAATTGTTCTTTGTCAGAAACTAGTTATTTTATCATGATCATGTAATTCTTTGAAAATTATTTGGCATTTTTTTATTGTATGTAGTGCTTAAAAATATTTTTAGTGCTTTTTTAAGCACTAAAAAAAGTACTTGTCTTGTAAAAGAAACTTAGGTACTTGAAAGGTGCTTGCTTTTTGTTGAAAGATTTGGCTACGCACCCAGTAATAATTAATTTGTTTTGATTGTGATTAATTGTTTAATGCCTAATAATTCATTCAATATTATGTATTTGCTGCATTATTATTTTTGCTATAAAAATTTATTTCATAACTTTTAGGTGTAATTCCTGGTTCAAATCTGGCTTATATGTGCACTCAGGTAAAAGCTTGTGTTGAAGAAGAGCAAAGCAAAGCCTTATGGGTGCCAAGTGGTTCATTATAATTAATTATCAAGTAGTCATTTGAATGATTTTATAAAAAAAAAAAATTATGTCAATAGATAAAATACTTTGTACATTTTTTGTGAAAACAAACTGGAAATCTTTATAAAATGCTCATTTGTGCATGTTTGCAAAGTCAAAATGGATAAGTTATGTTACTGAAAGCTGTAATATAACATATGTACAGATATAGAATCGGGCTATTTTACAAATTTAATAAATTTTGGAGGGTACTTTTTAATTGTGTGATTTTAACATACTATCGCATGAATATCATTGTATTTTAGGATCCCCATACTGTTAATCTTGAGCTATTAAAACTCGTCAGACGTTTTGAGATTCGCTATAGAGAGGGACTTTAGCTTATTAACTTTATTAGTTATAAGTATAGAATATATTTCATCAGTTTGCTTTAAATATATTTCTAGCTAACACTTAATCTTATTTTGATGTATCATTTTCTATTAATATGATAACTATTACAGTTTCTTTTTGGCATCCTAAAATGTGCAATTATTAATGATATTATACGATTAATAATATTATGAAATTTTGAGATTGTTTTAATTCTATAATTGATTTCAAGTGAGCATACTAGTTGATTAGTTATGGGTATTATTTTACCCATGTATTTTAAGATTTGAATTTTAGTTAATTTTTTATCTGTGAAATTAGTTATTAACTTTACTGTAAATGACCATGTAATAAATTGTTTCTTTAGATACAAAACTTTTAATCGTTTGCAATCAAGTACTCTTCATTGCGTAACTTACCAATAGTTTTAAGTTAGTAGATCTGGCACATGTTGATATAATTACAAAAATTTGTGTGATATAATATATTAAAATTTTTTATTGTATGCAAAACGTTATGAACAGAAAATAATAAGTTCATTAGAACCGTGATTATTCGTATTCCCCAAAATCTGAGGTTAATCAAATAATTTCGATCATCAGACAGTTGGGCAACCTTTTTAAATCAATTTTTAATATTAATCTACAAAATAAAATTATGAATGACTATTTATTTTTTTAAAATCTATTTTTTCCCCTTTTAATCTTATTAATAAACCAAATAAGAGTTTAATTTAATAAGTCATCTAGAAGTAATTAAATCATTTGAAACCCTTAAAAAATTGTAAAAATTCTTGAGAAATAAAATTTAATTCAGAGCAAAAGTTTAATCATGAGAAATTTTGGAACTGTTCATAATTCATCCTTATTTTATTTATTTTTTTAAATCAAATGTTTGCAAGATCCTTGCTAATTTTGTTCAAACATGCTATTTACTTCTTGAAATAGTTAACAACTGCTACTTATTGAGTCGAGAAATTTGAGTAAAAAGGAACTAGAAATTGCAATATTTAAATTCGAAAAGGAAAAAAAAAATCTTTCTTTTAAACTAATTGTGAGTCGAGTTGGTTCGCTTAAAGATTATTTTTGAAATTTCTAGTCAATTGAATTTGGATTTTATTTTATTTTCAAGCTATTTTCGATTGAGTCAGAAATGTTTGAATAATGCTCTTTAATTCTAAGCTAAAAGAAATGGTTCGTTTTCTAGTTCATCTCAATTTTTATTCTTTCTTTTTTTTAAATTTTAATTCTTTAAAATTGCAACTTTTGCTGGAAAAGTTAAGAAAAAAATCTTTGCATTTTAGTTTGAAAATTGAGTGGGAACACTATAGTATGTATAGCTCTAGAACGGATAGATTGTCAGATATCCAAAGTGTCCTATGATCAGAACTCCTACAATCGGAGTTCTACTGATTATCAGTTATAATTATATAATTGACTTTAAAAATAATTTTATGTAATTTTTACATTATTAAATTCCTAATATTTTTAAATATTAAAAATTGTTGAGATATGTATTGAAACCCACCATAAGCTACTATTTTAGATTTTATTTTGACAAAGACAATTTTGTATACTCACTTGAATTACATATTTCTAAATTTAAGAGTTATTTTTATGTTTATTTATAATCAACTGAATTTTATCTTCATTTCAAAAGTTAGTTTTACTATTTGTTTTTGTAATGTACACAGATAATGTAAAAAGAAACACCAAACAATTAATTCAAAATCTATGAACACTTGCTGCTGTAGGTTTTGATGAGCTTTATTTAAATAAATCAGTATTAAATTAAAAATCATGTATTGTACCTGAACAAAATTTATTTGGTATGGTCGAATGCTTTGATAATTTTCTCACTCTGATGAAACCTGCTGACTGTTTTGTGAATAGTACCCAAATTTTATATATTATTGCTGATTTCTTTTGTGCATTATGTGATATCACTGTTTCTGTTTGTCCACAACTACTTTGTATTATATTCAAATATTTATGTGATTTTGTTTTTATCAGATGTTTTTAGATATGTTAGTTTAATTTTCACCTGTATAGTTCTATATAAGTTTGATTGCATAAGGGTAGATATTGAGTTTTTAATGAGAATTAAATTTTCTTAAAAACAGGGTTTGAAAAAGTTAGTCATGTATAAATTTCAAATTTTATTAACTTTTTAAAAGCTTATTTTATTGTATCATTAATCTGTGTTTTTAAGGAAAGGTTAATATTGCTAAGTTGCTTTGTAGAAAAATGCAAATACTAAACAATTTACTATCAGGCATTTCTTTCAAATTAAGTTTTTTTAATCCTATTTAAAAGGAATAGATTAATTAAGCTGTATTCTCTTTGAAGTGATAATCTAAATTGTGTCTTTAAATACAATTTTTGTTCTTCAAAATTCAAAGTTTCCCAATTTTTAAAAAAAATAATTTTTTTTTTGCTTTTATGGACATTATTTTTAGAGTTATTAGAATTTCTTAGTTATAAACATAAAACAGATATTTCGCTCTGTATTACCATCTGTCATTATTTGTAATGTTTAAGTAAGAAAATTAAGTTAATAATCTTATCACTATAGTAATGCAATGACTACAATTTAAACACAAATGTATTATATATATATACTTTTATAAATTTCATTTAAATGTGTCAGTATTAGATAACATTCAATATACATACTAAGTATTCCAACTGTGTGTGGAAAAAATTCAAAGTCTTTTTGTTTGTTTCTTGTTCTATGTATTCAAGTTTTTTTTAAATAATATTCAAACAATTTTTTTTATACAGCAAGTTAAGATATAAGTATACATTGAAGGAAAATCAATTTATAAGACGAACTAACATAAAATTTATAAATTTTTTCATCGAAAATATAAACTAGTTTGACATGAAATTTCATTCTCTTTATTATGGCCTCATTTATTCATTGTTATTTATTTTTTCGATATTAGGTAAAAAAAGGTTTTAATAATAATTTTTATTAATGGTACTTACCTTTTTTTTGTATTTCTCTTCCTGCCAATTTAAAGTAAACTGCTCATATTTAACTTCTAAGCACAGAATTAACTGATTTATATACAAAGTAATATACCTGTTAAATTTTCCGTCCCATATTAACTTTAACATTGGTATTTAAAATTACATCTCTCATAATAAGATTGTTAAATTTTGGTCTGTTCTGCTTATTACTTTTTAAACAATGCCGGTTGGTGAGTAAGGCCGAATGAAGTAAGCACGGTTTCCATTTTGATCCGATGTGCAATCTTGCATATGTACTTCTCAAGATAAGGAACCTCCTTTACCTTCCAAATGGCATGTGTTGGAAAATCTTTCGGGATCTTACCTCCAGAGTGATACACAGGCTTCTTGTGTACATTAGGCTGTAGGAAGGTAGATTCTTAATCTGCATTTAAAAACGTGCAGATTTGAAATAGCAAGATGTAAACCATGCTTGTGTTTGATCTGAAATATTAGGATCTAAAGCAACTAAACATTCAATTTTAATTATCTTGAGAGTTCAGCATTGCAATAAAATGATTTAAGTTAAAAAAACAAGACTGTAATTAACTTTAAATAAAATTACTGTAATGTATCGTGTAAAATTATATATAAAGCGAATGCATTCATTCCTGTTGTGAATATTGTTGGGATTTTAACAGTTAAAAATATTGTTAACCAGATTGAATAAATTGTCATGCCATGGTGCTACTGTTAACAATTTAATGTCCTAAAATGAATCTTGTTGTTAATTCTCTGGTGTGATAAATATATATATATATTCTTCTGGGGAAAAAAATCCTTGTTGTCATTGACAATTCACATGAATTTTAAACAATTCTTAATCTAGCGTTCACCTTATAAGTGTGAATTATAAACATATTTTCACTCTTTAATAAAAATAGTTTTTTTTTTAAATTGATTTCTATAGTATGATAAAATTAATTTTTAGTGTATTGTTTATAGTCAATCTATATATTTCTGAATGACAAAAGAAATATAATTGATGCTCAATGTAATGAACCCTGCCTCTCAAAGAAATGCGAATGTTTATTTTTACTACTATATATATATTATAATTTTTTCCTACTTTATTTGGGTAATAGCAAGTTTAAAATTTGTCACTTGTTTGTCAGCGCTCTAACTACAAATTTGTTTAACTATGTAATGCATTGACTTAGAAGAGTAAATTCTCTTTATGTATTAGGCTCTTTTCCTTTAATGTGTGTTCTTTTAAAGTAATGACATTTAAAGTATTAGATTTGTAATGGGTAAATATATAAGATAATCTTGTTACTAATCGTAAAATTTTATCTGAATTTTATAATTAAATGTAAAAAAATTAACCTCAGATAAAAAATTAACCTCTTTTTCCATTTTCTTTCTGGAGATGTTTTTTTTCTTTTCGTTTTATATAATTAATCAAAAGAGTGAAAATATGTAGTTATGAAAGAGCTTCATGTGTATAAAGTAATGNTGTAAAAAAATTAACCTCAGATAAAAAATTAACCTCTTTTTCCATTTTCTTTCCGGAGATGTTTTTTTTTATTTTTGTTTTATATAATTAATCAAAAGAGTGAAAATATGTAGTTATGAAAGAGCTTCATGTTATAAAGTAATGAACTTGATCTCGTATAAGATTGGATTCTATATTAACTAATAAATGTTTACATGAAGGATATACTTTCACAAGGTTCCTTAATAATGGTACTGAGAAAAGCATTAACGCTTTCTGCAATAAAATAATAATCAAAAATAACTAATTAAAATTTATTATTAAATATTTCTATATTACATTAAACTTGTAAATATTTTTTAAAAAAATGTTATAATGGATGCATGTAAGAAATGATGTGTTGATTTTTACTGTATTTAGTCTAGTTTGTTGCTAATTAAATAGATAAAGCTGTTTAAATCATGCAGATTTGTTTTTTAAGTAGTCTTTTTAACTCTAAATTTGTATTATGAGGTTACCCATGATCACATTAGCTTGGAAAAAAAAAAAAACTTTTTTACAATCAGTAGAATTGTCATTAAAATTATATTAAAGATAACTTCACTGAATGTTCATTGGTGTTATCATAAGTTATGTACACAGTCATCGCTCATTATAACGACTTTCTGTTGTCCAAATAAAAATAGGTTATTTTATGTGAAGTTGCTAAATTGCAAGTGCACTAAGGTATCATTAATATTTACTATTAACCTTTTGCTACGTGAAATGATCTATTGCCAAAGATAGCATTTAGTTTTGAAATGTTTAATACTTAAGAAATAATTTCTTGGGCAAAATCAACTAAATTGTGTACTCTATATTGGTAGAAATTGTTCTGTTAAGCATTTCTTGAATAAAATTACATTGATGAAAAAGCGTATGGTGATTATATTATTATGTGAGGGTCGCTATAATAGAAAGTCTTATTAAAGAGCTTAGACTGTGCATACATTTTTCGAAATTTTCTTATTAAAAAGTGTTTGTTTTATAATTTTTATTTCTTCCATCTGCTTTAATGTAACAATTTACATTTTCTAAATTAATTGTCAAACTTTTTTTAAAAGTTACTTAGCAATATGTGATTTAGGGATTTCCTCTTATAATAGTAGTGATTGTTTTCTAAAATAATAAGTCCTCACTTTCATTAGAATTGTTTAATAATTATATTTGAAATTTGCATCTGTTACTATTGGCTATGAATATCCATTTTTAACTGTAATTTTAAACATATTGGGTTTCTACATTATGAATTACATTTTATTAAAAGCTTTTGAATTTTGAATCGTTCTTGTTGCTTTTCAAATTGAGATTAAGTTTAAAGAAATACAGCACCAAACTGTTGAAATTGCTTTTTGAAGAATATTATAATTATGGTGCTAGGATAATTGCAAACTGCTTTGAAATTGTAAAAAAAATAAAAATGTTTAAAGAAAAATGAATAAAGATAAACAATTTATAGAATGCAGGATAACATCGTTATGCTTTCTAACAAGCTTGAGAGAGCTACTCCAAAACAGACACTTTTGCAACTGTTTTTAATTCTTAAGTTTTAAGACTTTTGAATTCTAGTTTACAATATTTGACCTCATTTTGTGTTGCATTTAGTGCTATTCAATTGTGAGTAGGTGTTGTTGTTGTTGATTAGAGATGCTAAGTATTTAATTGCACTTGATGCTGCTTTTATAGGTAATTTTTGAAAGAAGAGCTTTTTTACACTGCTCAATTATACTCGATGAACGAAATACTGCTGTAGCATAAGTTTGCATGTGGTAAGAAAATCTATTGTACATAATTCGAAGGAAAAATATTTCAATTTATTAAACATATATTGACTTTTTATCAGATTTTATTTGTTCTGTCAACTTTATTTTTTTCTCACTCTTTTTTTAAAAAAAAAAATCACCTTTAAAAGTTTTATTCCTTTATGTGGTCCTTTATATTTGTTAAATTGTATGAAATGTTATTTATACTTTGCTATTTGCAGCTGTTCTTGTAATGTTTAGAAGAGCAAGCATATTTATGTGATACTTTTATTTTGCAATGCAAGAAACTTGACCGTTTCAATTGAATTTTGGAATGACATTTCTGTTTTCTCAGTATTGATTTTTAATATATTTAATATGTTGGTTATGGTTGACATATTTTAGTAATTTAAATACTTCAGTCAATTAGAAAATGCAGCTTTATTGTTTCCAAAAATCATTTTGGATTTTAGTTTGTAAAGTAAAATTATGTGAAATAAAGATTACATGATTACATTGTTACTGAAAAATTACTTCCTTTGCATCTTTTTCTCTTTCTCTTTTCTTTAATCACTTAGTAACATTCAATGTTTAAAGAGTTTAGTGGCAGAACATGTTAAAAGACAAGTGTTGTAGATTTTTTGATCATTTACTAATCATAATAATCATAAACTTTTAACATAGCAGAAAGGAAAAAATTTAAGACTCATTTTTTTTCTCCCTTTTATTTAATATATATACTATATATATATTTTAAGGTGGACTGCTTGTAACAAAACCGTTTAAGCTACTCTTTGGCTTCTAAAATATTCTTTGGCTTCTAAGCGACGTTACAGAGTTACACAACAATTTAATATAAACCACGAGGAGGTGACTGAGGGGATAGTGCATTCACCTCTCAATGAAGTGAAGCAGGTTCAAATCCCAGTGGTGGCTAGCTGATACGAATTCTTCTCCCCGCTCGCACCGACCACAGTAATCCCCTTGCTATTGGGCTAACTGTGGGAGAGAGGTTTTTCCTCTCCATGAAACTCAAATGTGGGTTAGCTTTATCTGAAATTCCTTCACGAAGACTAGTTTGTTTTAATGCTTGATCCAAACTTTCCATTGTCTTCTGTGTTGGGTTCAAAATTACAAGGCTACAGAGTTGAACATTGATAGTCGTAAAGTCAGAATTCGGTTGGCTGTCCAACGCCGGATATAAAATAAAAAGTATATACTACAAATAAATGCTGGTAAAGCCCTTAAAATTGAGAAAAATAAGTACCGTATATCCCTGTGTATAAGTAGATTTTTGAAAACCCCACAATTTTACGAAAATCAGAGGGTCGACTTATACACCAGTAATAAATTTCGACATTTGTTGATCGTGAAATATCGAAGAAATATTAGAATGAGACAGATTTGAAAAATTCTGTATTTTATCTCTTTCGAAAACTATTTTTAATGTGTTATATACAACTAATTTTGCATTTTCTTATTAAAGTTTGTTTTAAAATTACGTTCAGAAAAACATTAACACGAAAATTTTATGAAATTCAAGAGTATTTCAAAAATTGGTAACGCAATGAAAACTTAAAATATGGCATAAGGCTACGAATTGAAAGATTCCAAAACATCATCTGTGCTGGATTCAATAAAGTAAGCAGTGTCACACTCTGCAATGGATTCATCTTCGTCTGGTGAGTCCCACGAAATTCATCTTCAATCCCTTCAAAAAGTTTGAAATTCCACTCTTTTAAAAGGATTCCTTATTGAAGGGGTCGCCTCATTGCATGATTTTTTGAGGGCAAATGTATTATACCTAAAGAAGAACAATGTGAGATATTTTTAACTTTAGAAAATTGTTTAGGCTTAATTTTTTTCTTCTTAATTTTAGAAATTTTCATAATTGTTTTTTTTTTCAGCATCCGACATAGTACTGGAAATTCATTATCTTGTAATCAAAAATAGGGAGTTAATTATACACCGGATCGACTTAGAGACCGGAATATGCGGTAAATAAAACCCAAGGTATGTCAAAATCATATTCCTTTATAGTTCCAAACAAAATAAGTAAAAAACGTATTTAACTTTTTACTAATTTATGGTTATGAAATACAACACGAAACACCACTGTCGTTTGCCTTTGTTAAAGGTAAAATCCTACTTCCAAACTATAATTTTTCAAATTTACAGTTTTTTAGATCTAAGAGAAACATTCATTATTGATGTTTCTTTAATTTGCAAAATTAATTAATGATTAATTTTTGAATGTGAATAAAAAAGTTCTTTTTTCGTAGTACTTTTTATATTTTGGTACAAATATAATTCCGATGATCTAACAGATTTTTTT